TTGATTAAAACATACTGTGTGAAATTCATTGAGAGGAAAAACTGAGGACAAAGAAAATGAATGAAATGAGAAAGGGCTCTCTGCCCTGGCCATTGAATTTGGTCTTTAAGTAAACAAAGAGTTTTGAAGTAGGGGAGATTACAAATAGCTTCGCAAAGGTCACATTCCTGTGATCACTCTTTCAATAGAAAATATATGAGTTCCTTGTAATTGTTACCATCGTATGGGCACTCAGCTCTTGTGAAATGGGAAGACCTGGGTGTGTGATTGAAAGGGGAGGTGCATTTCATCACATGGCCCTCAGCCGGGCATGTGAGACTCCATAGATATTTTGAGTGAACAAATAAATGGTGAACCTGAATGTTCAGAACCCTTCTAATATTTCTACATCCACACAGACATGCTTTGACTATATGCAAACTTTAAAAATGTAAAACTAAAATTGAGATCATAGAAGGCAGCATTCCACCAGGAAGCAGACCTTACTAGACTAGTCCCATCATACCACCATGCTCTGTCTCTCAGGACCTATGTGCCCAAGTCCTTTCACCTCACAGGACCCAAGTCACCATGTTATCCTGCTTCACAAGATCTGAGTATCCAGGTAATCTCGCGGGACCTGAGGAACAATGTCATTCTCCTTTTAGGACCCAAGAAACCAGTATATCTACTTCACAAGACATGAGATCAGGTTATGCCGTCTCAGAGGACCTGAGCATCCAGGCTAACCTGCCCACAGGACCTGAGAGTTCAGCCTAGCCCACCCACAGGACCTGAGAGCCCATGTCATTCCGTTCTACAGGACTTGATATCTCATGACCTCCACACTCATGCTGTGGCACACTCATGCTCCCCCCACCACACACACCGCACACACACACAAACATGCATGTGTACACACAGTAAACAAAAATATTGAGTAAACATAGATGTAAGAAGATTAACTGTGAGATGGAAAGGTGCCTCAACAGGCAAAGACTCCTGCAGCCAAGACTGACTGGCTGAGTCAGTCTTGTAACCCTGAAGCCTGCATGGAAGAAGAGGGGGGAATCGACTCTACAAAATTGTCCTCTGACATGGTAGCAATGGCTCTTACACACACACACACACACACACACACACACACACACAGATATAAGAGTAATTTTATTTTGTTTGAAGAGTACATTAGCCAGGCATGGCAGTGCATACCTTTAATCCCAGCTTGTTAGAGTGGCCTAAAGTTTTTTGGGTGACAGTAATCCATCAGATGGATGTGCCACACTGCCTATTAGGTTGTCCAAAAATGAACAAAATGGCTAATCGGGGTGTGGTGTTGTATGCTGTCCCAGGCTTCAGGAATCTGTGTAGAACCATGCTGTGGACCTTCCAGGGAACACAGGGCTGAGTGTGGCCCTGGTTTTCTAGGAAATAAGGCATATAAACAGGACCTTGCTACATGCAAAACTCCAGGGCTAACAAGGGTCACATCACCTTGAAGATGGATGTATTAGCTGGCGGTATACCACAGAAGTAAATGACAACCTAGCATACACAAGGCCTTGGATTCTAGCTTGGGGTGAGACAGAGGTTGTCTATACAGGGTTTCCTATGAGATCAGGCTGCTGGAGCCTATGGGAGCTTGATGTTCCTGGTCATGCAGGGAACTCTATCCCTCCCCTTCTGCTTCCTCATGTCCGGATCTGTCATCCAGGAAGGTGTCTATGGCCTAGAACTGTAGCCCATGGGAGAGTCATTCCTTAACTCATATGCTGAAACCGTAGTAATGCCAGGACCACCAGGATGGTCCTCCATGCTGTGCCATGATTCACTGTCCCTAGCCTCAACCCTAGGTGACAGGATGTGCAGCTGGGCCTTGATCTTGTTTGCAGGAATGGGAGAAGTGGCACAGAGAGCCAAAGCCGTGCATTAAGGGTTCAAAAACAGTTGTGCTCTCTGCAGGGCTCTGACCTTTGGGGGGCCATACTCCTCCTGGTGCTCCACTCGACCAAGAGTAAACTCAGGTGTTCTAAGATGTTGGCGTCTTGATGTGAATTCTCAGAGCTTTTCTCCCCCTGGTTCAAAAGAAAGGGTTCCCTCTGAGTATGGTGGCTTATGCCTGCAGTCACAGATCTGAGGAGACAGAGGCAGGGGGATGCTGAGTTTGAAGTCAGCTTGGATGATAGCAAGACCCTGTCTCAAAGAAAGAAAAAAAGAAGAAAAAGATACCGTGTTGTATCTTCACTCAGTTCGCCCTCATACCCTCCCCCTGAGGTCCTACTAATCCCACCCCCAATCCCACAGCATGAGGCACCCCACTGTATTCTCAGCAGATGGGGGATCCCTGATCACAGCAGCAGCTACTAGAGCCCTTCCTAGGCTGATCACTCTCGGCTCCTCTGGGTCACGAGGTGACATTAATCATGGCTGGGTGCTGGTTACCCCATCTGAGCTAAGAAGGCCAGAAGCACCCCAGGGCTTGCTCCTTAATAACATACATTTGCTGGGGTTTCTTTTCCTTTTATCCCCTAAGACAGTGTTGCCCTGGCTGTCCTGGAACTTGCTCTGTAGGCCAGGCTGGCCTTGAACTCAGAGATCTGCCTGCCTCTGCCCCCCAAGTGCTGGGACTAAAGGCATGCACCACCATCACCCAACCTTGGTGGGTTTTCAATGGGAAGCTATTAAGTTAAGCCAAGGAGAAGCTAAGCAAGGATCCAAAGTGGCTTGCCCACAGCTATTCTGTCATTATCCTTAGACACAGGCCTAATTATGTTTTAATGTTCTTGTCTGATGTTTCCAACATCCTCGTCAGTTATGAGTCAGTTTCAACTGATCAGGCTTTTGGTTTGGTTTTTTTCCATCATGACTGGTTATACGTGTGTCTGGTATTTGGGAGGAGGGATCCAAGGTTTATGTAGCCTCTACCCTCCCATATAGCTAAGGATGACCTTGAACTTCTGGCCCTCCTGCCTTCTCATCGGAGTGATTACAGGGTGTACCACCACATCCAGTTTAGTAGAGCTGGGTTTGAACGCAGGGCATGCATACTATGTAAGCCCTCTACCAATTGAGCTACACCCTCAGCCCTGCCTGGCAAGTTTTGATTAGATGCCAGGCATTGTGGTTTTTACCTTGCTGGGTGCTAGATATTTTAGAGCTTTCTTTAAGGATAAAACTAAATTGTAAATAGTTTGGCCTTCCTGTTAAGATTGGTTAAATGGGATGGCAGAGACGAGCCACCAGAAACTCAGTGACCTCCCGCCACCAAGGCAAGACCCTTCTGAGTACTGGACCTGGCACCCTGCAGATCTGCAGCTTTCAGGCTGGATGGTGGTCACAGGAATCTTGCCCTGTGTAGGTGTTGCAAATGCTCCTCTGGTCCTCTGAGGGGCTGTTCTTTGTCCGGGCTTCTGAAGTGTCCTTCAACGGGTACTCAACAGTCCTCAGGGGTGTCTCTGCAGATCTCTGGTCTTTTTCTGTGACGCTCTCCTCTTTGTAGGGCTTTGTCCTGTCAGCCCCAGTCAGACTTCAAGGTCAACTGGACATCTTCTCACCTCTGAGAGCCCACCGGGCTCTCCTTCCTGCTCCCTGGCTCACAATAGTCCCTAGGCAGTCTTTGGAGACAGCAAGAGTCTCACCCACTGGTTCCCAGGTCTCAAGGCTTCTGGGGCTCTGCTGTCTGACGTGTGGTGTCTTGTAAAGTCTCCTTTGTATGGTATATAGTTACAGACCGCACACCACTTGTAATGGGCATTTTCCTCTCCATTTGGTGTTGGCTCCACTAAAAAAAAAAAAAAAAAAAAAAAAAAAAAAAAAAATCCGGTTTCTGAGCTGGACACGATAGGGTACACCCAGCTATTTGGGAGGTAGAAGCAGAGAGCATCAAGGGTTAAAGGTCAGTCTTGGCTACTTAGCAGGTTTGGCACCAGCCTGAACTACATGAGACCCTGTCTCAGAGACAAAGATGAGGTGGGAAGATGACTCAGTGGGTAAGGTGCTTGCTGTACAATGTGAGAATCTGAGTTCAGGTCCACAGCACCTACATAAAAACCTGGGCATGCTAGCCAGTTCCTTTAACCCCGGTGCTGGGCAGAGAGAAAGAAGAATCTCTGGACTTGCTGGCTAGCCAGTCTAGCCAAACTGAGCTTCAGGTTTAGTGAGAGACCGTGTCTAAATAAGATGGAGAGTGACTAAGCACGACACTCAGTGTTGACACAAACACAAACACATGTCTTGGCCAGAAGCACAACTCCCCTGCAGTGGGGCCGAGCCAACCTCTACTCTGCCAGATCGCAGCCTCTGACCACACCGAGGCTGAACTCAACTCACATTCCTTACAGAGCTTTTTATTGCTGTGTCATGGCCGCCTTCTGGAAACTTGCAGTTTATCTCCCGTGCTATGAGAAGAATGCAGCAAAACATGTATTTTCTGTTCAGAAGTCTAACAAGGCTGCTAAGAATGTAGCATGAATTCTAGTTACTGTTTAGCTTGCTACCATCTTGGAGCACACTCAACAAACTTCTTTCTGACTGAATTTGACAGGTAAATTCTCTTACAGTCCAGCTACTACAGATGTTTGGACACCTAAGACTCGATGGCCTTGAGGCAAGTGTTAAATAGTAACCAGAGTAATAAAGCTATTTCCTCTAAAGAAAAAAAAAAAAAAAAAAAAAAAAAGAAGAAGAAGAATGTGATGCTAGCCAATGAAAACTGTCTTCCTGGAGTGACTTTGGAGTCACTGATAGAATAGCCCATCCCCAAGGTAGTTTAGCCACAGGAAGGTGAGTGCTCAGGAGCCTATGCATGTGGGAGGAGCTCTGGTCTGCTCTGTGGTCTGTTGACAGGGGAAGCCACTGACTCTGTGTAGAGTGTTTAGAGGCAAGGCAGACAGGTGTAGCTTTAGGACAAGGACAGACACAGACATCTTCTCCCCATGCAAGCAAAAGTGTGAGGCTGGCGTCTGCACCAATGGTTCTAACTCTGCTCTCCGGAGAAGGGAATGAGGAAAGAAGCTGTGGGCCAGGGACTATCTGAGAGAGCGTGGGAGAGAGCCAGCATGTGCATCGAGCTACCAAGTATCCAGTGTAGGAACAGTGTGAGTATATATCAGCTGTGTGCGTCTGGTGGGACCATGTGTCACTGTGTCTAGTGGAGAGCAGAGCTACTGTGTGTGTTTAAGATCGCTACTGTGCATGCATGTGGGGACTCTTCAGTGAGTTGCTAGGATCTGAATGACAGTGTGGGTTAGTGAGGACTATGATGTGCCCAGCTTTCCGAAACCTGGGCATTGCCTACACATTCCAGCTGATCCCTGGCTTCCGGGTACTGCTCACCCGTGGGCACCGACCCTGGCACCATCCTGGCCTTCTTGGGTCACATGTGTGGTCTCAGAAACTGAGAGTGAGCCTTTTTTTCTGTGCCCTCCATCTGCCCTGAGGAAGCCTGTGTTCTGCTGTGGGTCTGCTGTGGTGGGTGGGGCCTAAGAAGTTTTCCTTCAGCTCCTTCCATTAGAGCTGGGTTATGACTCTTCCAAACATCATTCTCATTTGTGTTTTTCCAGTACTTTCTGAACAGCTCCACTTGCAATGTTCTGGGCAAGAGATTTTCAATAGGCGGTTCTAGTCTCTGCTGGGCAACCCCAGAGTCCAGGAGGAAGCAGGCGCCTGCCCGTCAATCTCTGTCAGCCTCATTGTGCAACAGCATTGGTTAACAGGTAAGGGACTGTTGTCTGCAGCCCCCTTCTTCCTCTGAGGCTGCTCCTTAGCATCAGGGAGATGATTTCAGAGATGGTTTATCTCTCTCTAGTCAAGTCTCACCTTAGACCCCCTCAGAGCCGTTGAGGAATTCCTTGAGCTCTGAGAACTGACACTTGACTTTGTCTCCTGTGTGGTGTGCAAGTGAACTAACTTCCTGTGGTGTCCCGCTCAATGGCTTCATCTCCTAAGAATGGCAGGGTTTAAAACGCTGTGTTGACACAGTAGTGTGTTATAATTGGAAGCTGCCACCCTTCTGCTGGGTGTCACGTTTCACGAACGTATTTTAAATATATTAAACAGCCAGTAGCCGCTCATCCTGGGAACTTCACGAAGCATTCCACAGGGTTACTTCTGTGTGGATGGGTGTGGGGTAATCCATGCATGTGTGTATATATGTGTGTGTGCATATGTGTATGTGCGCATGTGCATGTGTGTGTGTGTGTATGCGCGCACATGTGCGCACGTGTTTGTGGGGGTGTAGTCCAGAGGTCACACCAGTGTCTCCCTCTTATTTTTTGAAGCAGAGTTCTCACAGAACTCATTCTTTTGGCTGGCTGTTGAGTTCTGAGGATCCAACTGTCTCCACAGCCCCCACCCCTCCCTTGTACAGGAATTACAGGCACAGTCACACACCCCCCATACCTAGCTTTTGATGTCGGGGCTGTGTGTCTGAACTCAGGTCCTCATGCTTGCACAGCGGCAAGCACTGTACTCACGGACTCCCCAGGCCCACGACTCCTTTTTTATGCAGATGAAAACCTTACTTTTCAGATAAAGCATGTTCCCTTTGTCATTCTCTCAAAGCCTGTCTGGATAGGACCCAACTGAAGCCTATGGATTGTTGTGAAGTATTTCCCACACAGCACCAGCCTGCCCTGCTGTCTGACTGAGGTTGACTCTCTGGGGGTTATTTTCAGTGATGGTACAGATCAGGTATCTTTCTCCCCAACAGGAAGTCCCTGGCCAGCCTCCTAGCAGAGCCAGTGAGTCTGGCTGAGAAGATGGAGTTGGGTAGAAGCTCCTCAACTCCCCGAGAAACTGTTGCCCCTCTTGGGGTACGTGGGGCTGGGCCCAGAAGCTCTTCACTGGGGAAGCTTCAAGCACTTCCCATTGTGCCAGGTGCCCACCTAGGGGCTCCTGGCAGCCCAGCTTCAGCAGGAGACAGTTCCTTGGGGGAGCCGACTGGTGCCATGAAGGTCCCAAACAGGGACAGTGGGATTGACAGCCCATCATCCAGTGTGGCCAGTGAGAACTTCCCCTGTGAAGAGGGCAGTGAGGGCTCCCCAGGCCCTGCCATACTGGGGCTACACCCTGAGGCAGGTGTGGACAGCCAGGTCCTACAAGACACCTGCCAGGAGGAAGAGGATAGTGGTGTGGGTGAGGAGCCCGACCCTAAGACCACCCCTTCCAGGCCAGAGGAGAATGTCGGCTTGACTCAGGTAAGCTTCCCTTCCTCCACAACCAACACAGGGTGTCTGGGCATTGATAGAGATGTGTGGTGTGTAACACCCACACCTGTGTTCAGGAAATGTACCTGGGGTGGAGTCTACCAGAGAAAGCTAGGTGGGGCCTCAGAGACCTTGGGTGTGCTCATCCATGACACTTGAATGTGGTTTCTTCCTCATTGGTGTGTGTGTGTGTGTGTGGGGGGGTGTTTTATAGATAGTTATTAATTCTGCTTTAAAAGTGTGGTAGAATTTGTCAGCCACCTGTCTCTTATCCTTGGTGGGGAGTTTGGAATTATTGATTCAGTGTCCTTATTTATTTGCTTAGTCCAGATATTTTTATTTCTTCATGGTTCAATAATGTTTATAGCCAAGTATTTCTGAGGATTCATTTTTTTCAGGTGTGCAGTTTGTTAGCACGTAATTGCTCATTTCCTTATATCCTCTTTAGGATATAAGAAATTGTAACAACACCAATTGTAACAATATCACCCCCTCTTTCATTTCTGACTTCAGTAACTGAGCCTTCTCTCTGTTCTGTAAGGTAGCCTAGATAAAGTTTGCCAGTTTTCTTGAACTTTTCAGAAAACCAAGTTTGGTTTGGTTATTCTTTTGAAATTGTTTTTCCATTCTTTGTCTTTTATCTCTGTTCTGATCTTTCTTACTTCCTTCCTTCTTCTAGCCTAGCCTTGGGCTTAGCCTACTCTTGCTCTTCTAGTTTCTCAATAAGTACAGTTAGGTTGTTTTAAGATTGTGTAAATATATTGCTGGTGCTGGGAATGGAGCCTGGGACCTTGTATGATAGATACGAGCCATACCAGCCTTTCGTCCTTTCTTTGTTTTTTGGGTGTCTATGTTCACATGTTGGGGGGGCATACCTATATATGTGGGTGCATTTGCACGGGTGTGGGAATGCGTGTGGAGTCCCTAAGTTGATGTTGGGTGTCTTCCTAGACCTCGCTCCACTGTATGAATTGAGGCAGGGTCTCTTCATGAACCTGCAGTGTAACTGACCAGCCTGCCCCTGGAGCCCCTATCCCTGCCTCCTGTGTTACTGAATCTGCCTGTCTCTGTGAATTTTCTCAGTTTTCTGGCTTTATCCCATTGTGATTGAAAAAGACAATTTGAATACTTTCAGCTTTCTTTGTTAAGATCTGTTTTGTGCAGAACATGGTCTATCCTGAGCGATGTTCATCAAGCGTTGCTGTGTTGTCAAGTAAACCATTGTGTATGGTGGTGCTTGCCTACTGATCTTCTGCCTAGATGTTCTGCCCATTGCAGAAAGATGGGTATCGAGGCTTCTAGCTGTTAATTTGTTGCTGGTTAGTTAGCCACCCAATGTAGTCATAGCTGACTTCACACATTGTTATATCTTCATGGTAATCTTTTTATTATTTCATTATCGTTTTTAAAATTATTTTTAATTTTTAAAAGACATGGTTATTTATTTAGTGAATGGAGGGGGGTGTAGCGGTCAGTGGTGAACTTTGTGGAATGGGTTCTTTCCTTTTCACCGAGTAGGTCCCAAGGATTGAACTCAGGTCACCGGGTTTAGTGACAAACTCCTTATTCTGTTTGCTAAAAGTAAGGCCACTCACTTTTTTGGGGGGTGCTATTTGCATAGGATATATTCTCCCACCATTTCCCATTTTCATCATGTGTGTTTCTGTATGCAAATATACAAAATTAGTCTCTTGTGAGTAATATATGTAGGTGGATTTTTCTGTCCCTCCTGCCAGCTCCCAAGTCCAGACCCAGAGACGCATTATTAATTATGAAGCTCAGCCAATGGCTTAGGCTTGTTTCTAAACAGATCTTATAACTTAAATTAACCCCTTCCTATTAATTTACTTTCTGCCTTGTGGCTTTACTACTTTTACTCTGTATTGCCCATACTGCTTTCCTGCTTCCCCCAACTCTGCTTGGTGGCTCTCTGCATCTCTGCCCTCCTTCTCAGCATCCTCTCTGCCCTGAAAATCCTGTCTCGCTATTGGCTGTTCAGCTTTTTATTAAACCAATCTGAGTGACACATCTTCACAGTGTATGAAAAGATTACATCCACAACAACATATTTAAGAAAGAGGGAGTATGCTAGTGCACACCTGTGATCCTAGGATTAGAAGTTCAAGTTCACCCTCAGCTACACAGGGAGTTTGAGGCTTGTCTGAGTTACAGGAGGTCCTATCACAAAACAAAACAAAACCATAATTAGTTGTTGTTTGCTTGCGTCTTGGTGTCCCAGGATGCCACCTGGATGGTATGGGATGGGGGGGACACAGAGGGCTTGACTCTCTTTATACCTCAGGCTGGCCTGGGGCTTGCCTCATAGGCTGGCTGGCTGGAAGTCTCAGTGTTCTAGCTGGGATTACAGGCGTGTGCTACCACACCCAGCATCAGCTGTCTTCAGTTCATTTGACGTACACAATTTTTTTCTGAAGAGTTTAACATGATTGTATATAAAGTCAATACCAATGGAGCAGGGTATAAAGTCCGCTCCTAAGGTTGCTGCCTGTCCCTTGTCACTTTCTTTCTCTCTCCTTTCCTCTCTTAGCTATTTTTCTTTGCATTTGTTTCATTGATTTTTATGAAGATATATTTTGATTCCTTCTATCTTACTTTTGTGTATAATCATAGTTGTTATACTTCTAGTTACCATTGTTGTTACTAGAACATTTTAAACGTACAGTGTTTCATTTGATGCTGACAAAGCTCTAGTCTTTCCTACATTTCCCTCCCTGATGTCACAAATTTACCTGTATGTGTTACAGAACATTGAAGATAGATTTAACGTTTCTACTGTTACTCTTTCTGAGATTGTGTAATCCAGGATGACCTCAAACTAATAATTCTCCTGCCTTAGGCTCTTAAGTGATAAGAGTACAGGCATGTGCTACCACACCCACACCCAGTTTCTGTGATTCTGGAACTGGACCGAGAGATTCCTGCACACTAGGCAGGTGCTCTGCCGACAGCTGTATCTGCAGCCCTATCCTATCATCTCTGCTTGAAGGACTCCTTTTGTGCTTCTTTCCCTCCCCCAAAGGTGTATTTACTTATTGGTACGTGTCTTAGGGTTTCTATTGCTGTGAAGAGGTGCCATGACCACTGCAATCGCAAGTGCTGGGATTAAAGGTGCTTGCCACCAGCCACCATGGCAACTCTTATAAAGAAAAACATTTAGCTGGGGCTGGCTTACAGTTTCAGAAGTTTAGTCTGTTATTGTTGAAGCAGAAAGCATGGTGGCATGTAGGTAGACATAGTGCTGGAGAAGGAGCTGAGAGTCCTCCATCATGATCCACAGGCAGCAGGAAGATGTACACCATCCTGGACATAGCTTGAGCATATAAGATCTCAAAGCCTGCCCCCACAGTGACACACTTCTAACAAGACCACATCTATTCCGACAGGCCACACCTCCTAATAGTGATACTCCCTATGGACCAAGCATTCAAACATATGCGTCTATGGGCGTCATTCCTATTCAAACCACCACAGCACGTATGAGGCTGTGTTGTCTGTGTGTGGTGGAGGAAACGCATGTCCCTGTGCATATCTAGACAAGAGGAAGGCACCAGGTGTCCTTCTTATCACTCTTTGCTTTTTCCTTTCAGTCTGGGTCTTTTCCTGAACCTGGGGCTCATATTTTCTCCATCAGGCTTGAAGCCAGCAAACCCCAGCGAGCCTCCTGTTTCATCCCTCTCAGACCTGGTTACAGGTGTGGGCAAGATTCCCAGCTTTGTCCATTCATGCTGGTGTCTGAACTCAGTCTTCATGGTTGCACGACAGCACTCTTAACTCATGAACCATCTTCCCAATCTTCCCAGTCCCAGAACTCATTTCATTGTTTTTGTTTTATTTTGTTTTTTGTTTTTTGTTTTTTTTTTTTTTTTTTTTTTTTTGGAGTGTGGGTCTAGCGATAGTAAACTCTCTCAGCCTTTGCTTTTGTAGGAAAGTCTTTAAGACTTCTTTGAAGATTTATTTTATCTTATGAGTTTGGGTGTTTTGCCCGCAATGTATGAATATAGAGTACCACATGCATGCCTGGTGCTGACAGAGGACAGAAGACTGTGTTACAAATGGTCAAGAGCCACCTTGTTGGGGCTGGGAGTCACACCTGGTTCTTCTGCAAGGTGAACAAGTGCTCCTAACTGCTGAGCCATCTGTCCAGCCCCTTCCTGGGAAAGTCCTAGTTTCTCTGTCTTAGAAGGACAGTGGTTTCTCTCAGCACTCAATATATCTGTCCATTCCTTCTGGCCCTCAAAGACTCCCTCAAGGAAGAATCTGGCAATCCCATGGAAGCCCCTGCACATGAGACCAACTACTTCTCTCCTGCTGCCTTTAATGCTGTCTTTGACTTTTAGATCTTTTCATCATAGGGTGCCTTTGTGTGCCACCTCCTCTGTTATTGTCAAAGAGTCTTTCTGTGTAGCCCAGGCTGACCTTGACCTCACCATTCTCCTGCCTCAGCCTCATGGGTGCCAAGATTATAAGCATGAACTAGGCAGCTGGTACCTTATTCTAGTTGGAGTTCTTTGAGTTTCTTTTCTTTCTTTCTTTCTTTCTTTCTTTCTTTCTTTCTTTCTTTCTTTCTTTCTTCCTTCCTTCCTTCCTTCCTTCCTTTTTCTTTTTCTTTTTCTTTTTCTTTTTTTTTTTCTTTTCTCAAGCAGGGTTTCTCTGCATAGCCCTGGCTGTCCTGGAACTTACTCTGTAGACCAGGATGGCCTCAAACTCACCAAGATCTGCCTTCCTCTGCCTCCTGAGTGCTGGGACTAAAGGCTTGGGCCACCACCACCCAGCCATTCTTTCGGTTTCTTAGATGTGTGTGTTCATCTATTTCCTAAGATTGAGGAGTCTTATTATCATTCCTGCAAATGATTTTTGTCTTTTATCCTTTTTGACTCTCATATGGAGATCTGGGTCTCCTGGAAGATGTTCTGAAAGTCCTTTAGAGTCCTTAATAATTTTCTTCATTCTTTCTTGTTTTTTTTTTTTCCCCCCACTGATTGATTTTAAGTGACTTCTTTGGGAGCAGGAGAGATAGCTTGTGGGTTAAGAGCACTGGATGCTCTTGCAGAAGACCTGGGCTCAGTTACCATTACCCGCAACCATTGACAACCCCAATTTCAGGGGATATGATGCCCTCTTCAGGCATCATGCACATACCTAGCACACATACACATAGACACATGCAGGCAAAACATTTATATAGATAAAATAAAAATAAATAAATATTGAAAAAAGCAGGGTGTGGTGTGGTATGGTGCTGGAGAAATAGCTCAGCAGTTAAGAGCACTGGCTGCTCTTCCAGAGAAACCAATTTGATTCCCAGAACCCACATTGATAGCTTGCAACCTTCTGTAACTCCAGTTCCAGGGATCTGTTGCCCTCTTCTGGTCCCCACAGGTACTGCATGCATAGGTGCACAGACACAAGCAGGCAAAAACACCCATACATATAAAATAAAAAAGAAGAGAAGATCACAGCAATTTTATCTGTTTGAATGACTTCTCTTCAAGTTTGCTGTTTCTTTAAGTCTGAATGGATCCTCCTTATGAGCTCCCACTATTCAACTCCTGAATGTCTGCTTCGTTCTTTTTAATGGTTTTGTCTTTGTCCCTGTTGGTGGTGTTCCTTGTTCATAAGTCATTTCTTGATGTTTTTTTTATCGAATTTATGACAGATTTTTCCCCTATCAAGCAATTTATAGATCTGTGTGTGTATGGAGGGAGGGACTGCATGTATATGTCCTTGGGGGTAGAGGCCATAGTACCTATCATCTTATGTCTTTCCTCAGGTGTATCCACTTTGGTTTCTTGGGAGGGGCGGGGGAGTTCTTTTGTTTGTTTGTTTGTTTTTTGTTTTTCCAGACAAGAATTCTCTGTGTAACAGCTCTGGTTGTCCTGGAACTAGCTCTGTAGACCTGACTGGCCTTGAACTCACAGAGATCCACCTGCCCTTGCCTCTACAGTGCTGGGACTAAAGACGGAACACCACCACCTGCCTGGCCCACCTTAGCGTTTTGAGACAGTATTTCTCACTGGTTAGTCTGGCCAGAGAGCCCCAAGGATCTGCCCCCTCTCCCTCCCCATCACTGGAATTACACATGCATGCCACCATGACTGGCTGTTTATATAAGGACTGAACTCAGGCTCTTGTGCATATTGGCAAGGATTTTGCTGGCTGAACTGACCCCCTCAAGTCCCAGGCCTGTTTTTCTTTTGGGTCAACTTCAGGGGGATTTAGTCTGGCTGGGCTATATTCTCCTGCTTCTTTGTATGGTTTATAAGTTTTGTGTGTTACTTTTAGTTTTGGCTGGATGGGGGCATTTGAGGAAAACATCACTCCAGATTTCACCCAGTCACACTTTACCTATCACACAGTTGGGGGCTCAGAGCATCTGCCTGTGGGACTGGAATCCTAATGTGTTGCTGGCCTTTGTTCGGTGGCTTCACACTCCTGCTCTGGGTTCATCTGCTCTCCACTCATGCAAGACAGAGTCCACAGTTCCACCTCCCCTGGGTAGCACTCTGAGGAGCCAGACCTCTCAGTGCCTGGCCAAGTTCTCCGTTTCTGCCCTGCAGACCTGGTCCTGATGGGGAAGGGGCCCTGGTGTGGGAGGAGCCTGGTGTGGGAGGACCCTGGTGTGGGAGGAGCCCTGGTGTGGAGGACCCTGGTGTGCCATATTTCATAGGGGGAGAAATGCTGAAGGGCATTGCTATAAACTGAATATGCATCCCAAAAGTCACCTGCTCGAGTCTTGTCACCAATGTGATAATACTAACATCATAGTCTGCTTCATGGAGATGTTAGGTAATGAAGATGGAGTCAGTGTCCCCACAGAAGGGAGTGGGGACAGCCTGGGGTTGTAGCCTAGCTGCAGAGTGCTCAGGGCAGGGTTCAATCCCCAGTGCTGTACAGTAAAATGGGGATCAGGGAGGAGTTTGTGGGTTCCTTTTCTTCTCTTCCTTTGCCACTTGAGGATGCAGTATCCCTCCCTCTTCACCTTCCCACCCTTTTACGCTGCCAGCTCAAGCCTTAGCGTCACTATGTTGACACAGAGACTTGTGATTTCACTAGACCCTCCAGTGCTTTTGATCTTGAAATTCCAGCCTCCATAACTGTGGAATACATTTTAGGGTTTTTTATTTGTTTGTTTGTTTGTTTTGATTTGGGGTTCAAGCTTCATGCTGAAGATCAGGAAGGCAAAGTAGCCAATCCAGTAGCTCTTACCTCTACTAAACTGAAAGGTAATCCTGTCTCTACGAGTCCTCAGAGACAAATGCTCTCCCTGTCTGGAAACTGAATCTCACAAGAGAGCCTTTGCTTCTTCCTTTTATACCTCCCTAGTGCTGGGATTAAAGGTGTGAGCTCTGTTACTCTTTTAGACTGATTCACTCTTATGTAGGCCAGGTTGGCCTTGAACTCACAGAGATCTATCTGCTTGTCTCCTGAGTTCTTGAATTAAAGGTGTCTACCACCATTGCCTGGCCTCTATTGCTTGCTAATATGGCTGCTGGCATTAAAGGTGTGTATCACCACTGACTGGCTCTATGGATGTGCTTAGCTTTGCATTTTTTATCTCCAGTGGCTTTATATCACCACGCCTCTCCTTCTTCTTTGCCTAGATTCTCTCCTTATTTATTCTCTTTTGCCTCTTAGCCCCACCCATTCCTTTCCCTGTTTTGTTTTGTTTTTGGTTTGTGATTTTCAAGACAGGGTTTCTCTGTGGCTTTGGAGGCTGTCCTGGAACTAGCTCTTGTAGACCAGGGTGGTCTCGAACTCACAGAGGTCCGCCTGCCTCTGCCTCCCGAGTGCTGGGACTAAAGGCTTGTCACACACACACACACACACACACACACACACACACACACACACACACACACACACACACCCCGGCTCAGATTTTTGAACAATCAAGTGCCTAAGGCAGGCAACGTGAAACAAACACAACACATATTTATATAATTTAACAAATGCAGAAAAGATTACATCATTAACAAAGGCAGCAGAAACTAATGTAACACACCTTTACACAGTTAAAGTAATATTACACAACATAAATAAATGTAACACATCTTTAGATAGTTAAATATTCCACAACACCATAGGGTATGGACCTCTGTGTGTGTGTGTGTGTGTGTGTGTGTGTGTGCATGTGTGTTTGTGTGTGTGTGTGCATGTGTGCGCTAGTGATGGAACCCTAGGTTTTGTATGTGGTAGGCAAATTTTCTTTCGCTGAACTGCACCCCAGCTGTACATTGGATTCTGGTGTGGTTGCTATGGTTGCTCCCCACTTAGAAGTCTAGAAACATAACTGTCCCATCTGGACTGTAGTAGCTTTGCGTGAGATTGGCAGAAACTGCTGTGCTTTTTCAAGAACTCTCCATAGAAATAGCATCTAAGAGAACCAAGTACCATGTCTGAGACTCAGGAGCCTCCTTCTGCTCTCTGCATCCTGGTGCATTGTGGGTAGCCGTGTTAGGTGTACCCCACCCCCCAGTAAGTGGCTTCCCTTCTCCCTGCAGTGCTCTGACCCACAGAAGCGGCTACACATCGCCCAGGAACTCCTGAACACAGAAGAAGCCTACGTGAGGCGGTTACACTTGCTGGACCAGGTAGCCCATAGGCCTGGGAAGCCCCTTCTCTCCATGCCCCGAATTCAAACTATACATCCCTTTAATTGTTTGGGTTCTATGCTTAGAGTGGAATGACAAATACTAAGTGCTGTGGTTCCAGGCAGAAGCCCAGTCTGTTCACACTGGGGGATATTTCTTCATGGACATGAATAGATGCTGGTATCTGAAGAGACGTCTCAGTCAGTACAGTGTTTGCCTTGCATGCACAAGGGTCTGAGTTTGATTCTTAGAACTCATGTAAAAATGCCATGCTAATAGTGCTGGCTAATACTTCCCAGCACTGGGAAGGTGGAGTCAGGGAGATACCTGCTTGGCAAGATTAAGGTTCAGTGGAAAGAACTTGTCAAAACAAAACAAACAAACAAACAAACAAAAAAAAACCAACAACAAAACCCCAAGTTGGACGACACCTGAAACTGTCCTCTAACCTCCCCAGGCATGCACACACACCTATGCCCATGTAAACCTGTACCCGTATGGACATGCACACTTGCACTCACATAGAACATCCATAGCTAGACCAGAAGGTGCTGTGTGTCCCTGACCATGAGGAAATGTGAAGAACATCCTTAGCACCCAGGAAAACAAAGCTTGTTCGGTGTGTGGCTCCCTCCTCTGCCTCACAAGCCAGAGAAGATCTCCTTCCCTTTCTGAGAGGGTGATGAGGAAAATTATCACACTCCATCACCCATGCACTATTCCTACCTTACCCATGATGCTCAGCTATAAGCAAGCTGTCAATAAGACTTAAAGCTGGAAGATTCTGGATCTGACAATCATTAAGAAAACCTAAGTGAGAGCCAGGCAGTGGTGGCGCACGCCTTTACTCCCAGCACTCGGGAGGCAGAGGCAGGTGGATCTCTGAGAGTTCAAGGCCAGCCTGGTCTACAGAGCAAGTTCAGGACAGGCTCCAAAAAAACCAACCAACCAAATAAACAAAAACCTCAATGGGGCTAGAGAGATGGCTCAGTAGTTAGAGTTACTATTGTTGTTTTGAAACATCATTATCAAAAGCAAACTGGAAAGGAAAGGGTTTATTTTGCTTTATGCTTCCACATCATAGTCCATCAATGAAGGAAGCAAGGAGAAACTCAAACAAGGCAGGAGCCTGGAGGCAGGAGCTGATGCAGAGGCCATGGAGGATGCTGATTCCCGGCTTGCTCCTCAAAGCTCACTCAGCCTGCTTTCTTAGAGCACCCAGGATCACCAGCCCAGGGATATGGCACTCCCCACAATGGGCTGGCCACTCTCCCATCAATCACTAAGAAAATGCCCCAGGATCTTATGGAGGCATTTTCTTAATTGAGGTTCCCTCCTTTCAGATGACTCTAGCCTGGGTGAAGTAGACATAACACTAGCCAACACAGATGTTTTTATGTGCAAGCATGAAGTCCTATGTTTGAATCTCAGCACCCAAGTAAAAAGTTCACCCTTGGGGGCTGGAGCAGTGGGTCAGCATTTGGGGGGACTGGTTGCTCTTCCAGAGGACCTGGGTCTGGTCTCTAGCACTGACGTAGGGCTTCACAGCCATCTGTAACTCCAGATCCAAAGGCTCCAATGTACAAGGCACACATGTGGTGCATAGACGTGACTCAGACAAAACGCACATCTGTAACCCCAGCACCATGGAGGTACAAAGACAGGAGGGCTGCTGGGGTTTGCTGACTGCTAACCTAGCTCCAGACCCTACTCAAGAGAATGTGGTGGGGACTGGCAGCACTGCCCTGGCCTGCACACGTGTGCGCGCGTGCACACGTGCGTGTACACACACACACACACACGCACACACACACACACACACACACACGCACACACACACACACGGTAAATTTTGTTTGGTCTTTGTTTTTTGTTTTGTTTTGTTTTCAAGACAGGATTTCTCTGTGTAGCCCTGGCTATCCTGGGACTCATTCTGTAAACCAGGCTGGCCTCGAACTCACAGAGATCCACCTTCCTCTGCTTCCCAATTGCTGGTATTAAAGGCGTGCCCATCTAATTAATTTTTTTTAAATTAAAGAACAAACCAGGTGGTGGTGGTGCACACCTTTAATCCTAGCGCTTGGGAGGCAGAGCAGGTTGGTCTTTGTGAGTTCGAGGTTAGAAAACAAAAGGAACTCAAGAGTCCATCCCTGTGGTAGGTGTCCGGCTGGCTCCCATGCAGTTACCACTGTGGGCTTCTCTGTGCTCAGGTTTTCTGCACCAAGCTGACTGAAGCAGGGATCCCTCCAGAAGTCATCACTGGCATTTTCTCCAACATCTCTTCCATCTACCGTTTCCATGGGCAGTTCCTCCTGCCCGAGCTGCAGAAGAGAATCACAGAGGAGTGGTGAGTGTGGCAGAGCCCTCCACATGGCCCCTAACCCTGAGTTCCTCTGCCGGAAGCCTGACGGGTTCTGGAGGTGGGGGGTTTGTCTCCTGGAGGCCTGGGTGCCTCCCTTCCCTGAGATTCTGGTTCCAACCCTAGCCCTGCCTTTTCCGGGTTAGTGGCTTTGACTGGGCCTTGGGCATCTTTCAGCTTGTGATCTAGATGAGATTGACATCTGGAAGCAACACAATGAACTGTGCTGCTGGTTTTATTTTCCCTCTCAGCCCGTTTCTATCTTTGCTTTTTGAAAGGACCTTCTCCTCAGGAGTGGCTCCAGGCCCTCTGCTTTCTGTGCTCCTCAGCTTTTGCCTATTTTCAGCAAAAGCTGCAAGCCACAATTAGTGCCATGACACCAGAGAGGCCTACCAGTTTTAAACGTATGCTCCCTGCATTTTGGGAAGCTTGAAGTTTGCCTACCTTCCTTTACAGGGCTTGTATGCCCTTCAAGTCTCCTGACTTTGCCTTGGGAGATTGGGGGCGTTTGTCTTGTCATCTTTGTCTCAGTGTGTGGCTGGGTCACTTTGTAAATCTTTGGAAACTGCAAAGCAGGTTGCACTGTGTCCTGGGTGTGGACTTCTGGTGACATAGTCAATGTCTGGCAGCACAGGCTTTCTCCTTCTGTGCTCTGGAATCCCTGAGTGTCCTCATGGTATCTCCTCTGACCTGTAATGATGATAACACAGGACCCCTTGCCTTGCATCCCTGGTTGCTTAATCTCTGAAGTCAAACCTTTGCATACAGTTTCATAGGAGTCCCAAGTGATGGCTGTGTGCCCATGCCTTTTTTTTTCCCCCTTTGGTTTTGGTAATTATTAAGGATAAATCTCCAAAAGAGAGTGTTAAGATCAAACCTTACTATGTTGATTTTTCCTGTGGAGATGTGAACATCTACTTACCCAAGATAGGGCTCCAACAATAGAACAAAAAACAAAACAAAACACTGGATTCCACCCAATCCCAGCTTCGCTGCAGCAGTGAGCGTGGGTGACTTCGAGGTGGCTGCAGCAAAGTCTCATGAAAGCTGCATTCCAGGAGCTTCCCCACAGCTTGATGGCAGCTTGGCAGAGTGAAAAGTCTCTCCCAAGCAATGGCTACTGCTTGTATGACCTTGGGTGTGTGTGGTGGGGGAGGGTGCTTCTGAATTGTGTAAGATTCAGGAGCTTCCTGAAGTTTTGGTCGCTTCCCGAGCCTAGTAAGTTTTACTGCCTGAGTCTTAAGGAGCTTCCCTTTCCTGGAGGGGGTGTTTTAATGCAGAGGAAATAACTGCACAATGTTTGCTTCCTAGAATCTATTTGTTCACTCAGCGCACTCAGAAGTTTTCACCATTGGTCCTGCAAAGTCTTCCCTTTTCTCCATGGCTTTGACAGCAATGTAGAGAGCCCTTATTTCTAATCTGTGCTCATTTAGGATGGCACTTCACCAACATCTTTGATAACTGTGCCCCCCCCCCCACTCAAGGGCAGCACTATTGCTAAGACCCTCTGTTTGGGTTCTGGGCCTCAGCCGGTGCTGCTGAGGTGTTTAGAGAAACCCCCTTTTAATGTCCAGTCCACAATCTGGGAGGAAACATGCTTTAAGAGGGTGGTGAGCACGCTTACCATCAGAGCACTGCTGCGCCTAGACTGTTCACTAATGACCACGCTTCTCCACACAGGGACACAAACCCTCGGCTTGGAGACATCCTGCAGAAACTGGCCCCATTCCTGAAGATGTATGGCGAGTATGTCAAGAACTTTGACAGGGCAATGGGGCTGGTGAGCACATGGACCCAGCGTTCTCCGCAGTTTAAGGATGTCATCCACAGCATCCAGGTAGGTGGCTGTAGGAGTGTGACATACACACCTTTTCTTTTCTTTTTTTTTTAAACTCTAAATATATTTTATTAAGACAAGGTCTCAAGCCAAGCATGTGGCATATGCCTTTAGTCTCAGCACTGAGGAGGCAGAGGCAGGCGAATCTTTGTGAATCTGAGGCCAGCCTGGTCTACATAGCAAATTCCAGGCCAGACAGCACTACATACTAAGACCATGTCCAAAACAAAAACAAACCAAAACAACAACCAAACCAAACCAAGCAATCAAACAAACACAATAAGCCTCCACAACAAGACAAGGTCTCTAGATCTGACTAGGATGAACTCCCTATGCAGCCAAGGATGACCTTGAACCTTCAACTTTTCTGCCTTCACCTCCTAAATGCTGGGATGACAAGCCTGCATTAGCACGCCTGGCTTTTTCTACATGGGTTCTGGGGTTGACGTCGGTCCTCATGCTTGAACAGTTACACTGCCCCCCCCATCTCCCAGCCCTCTGGAGAAGCTGTGACACTAAATTCTCACATAAGCATGTAGTATAAATTTCATCTGTGCAGTGAGCTCCGCACACATGTCCCTCCAGAGGGCGAGGCAGTTTTCAGCCCGAGCACAGGCCACTATCCCTGTCCAAACAGGCTCTTGGGTCTAGCAGGTCCTCAGGTGACCAGACACTTCTAGGATTGGGATGACAGTTGTCTGCATTGACCACCCCAGCACTATGTTGTCCCTGAACAGTGGCTGTCTTCTGGGAATACTTCCTGCTAGGCACAGCCATGGTTCTGCTCCTTGGCCTCAGCACAGTTCAGCCATTCTCGGCTAAGACCTGGACTGTGTCTGCTGATCCTGACGTCGCTTCTGGTACCTGGAGGATGGGATCTGGACCAGGATAACAGTACACAGGATGCTCCTGACAGCAAATTCTCTTATGCAAAGTCCATGGGCAAAGCCAAGAAGCCTTGACCTGGACAAAATGGGATTAAATGACCACCAGGTTTTCCTTGGTCTCTGGAGAATTCTTTGCTTAATCCAATCCAAAGCATATTTTAAATTATAAGCCTTAAAAAATCCAAACATTCACCAAGAGTTTGTAAAATGACCAATTTAAGGCTAGAGAAACCTGAGTTTGTACACAGATGAAGGCTGGCATGGTGGCATGTAGATGGAATTTTCTGTCCCTCATGGTTCCACAGCTGTTTAGTCCCAAATAAACACACAGAGGATTATATTAATTATAAATGTTTGGCAGATGGCTCAGGCTTCTTATTGGCTAGGTCTCCCTTAATTATTAACCCATAACTATTAATCTGTGTATCTCCACGTGGTTAGCTTACCGGTGATGCCCAGGAACTTTCTTCCTCGGCAGCTACATAGTGTCTCTCTGGGTAGTATCTTCCTCTACCCAGAATTCTCCTAGTCCGATAGTCCCGCCTATACTTCCTGTCTGGCTATGCCCTGCCTGTCCATTGGCCAAAACAGCTTTATTCATCAACCAATAAGAGAAACATGTATTCACAGCATACAAAAGAACATCCCCCATCAGTGGCATGTGCCTGAACCCTCGCACTGGGGCTAAGTGTACAGTCATGAGACAGGTATGTTCTGGGGTTGATCAGCAAGCCTAGAAGAAGCTCAATTTTCAGCCAGAGACATGAATACACACAGCATACCCAGGCATGACCACAAAAGGACAAACGCACAGACATCACAGACACTCTGTGCTATTTACCATTATCTCTAAGCACACATGATGGTTATTATGTTCTGAAACTCATCTGTAAGCACTGCAGGTTCATCACTAAGTGTGAAAGAGGGTATCTCCCACGCACAGTGGTGACTGAAATCGAGAAGCTCACATGGCTGTCACAGCACCGTCTCCTCCTCACAGCCTACACAGTCATCAGCTATCCCAATGATGCACTTCTGTGTTTTCTCTTTGTGGTTCACGAGCCACACTAGGACCACACACTGCTCTCATTACCAGGTTGAGTCCTTCCCTCTAGGACAGGCTCTGCCTGTGCCCTCTTGAGGGAATTGGTTGCCTTGTGGCTTGGGGTTATCTGTGGTTTTTCTATGATTCAGTTTGGGCAGTGCCTCCATCACTGGAGCAAAGCCTTTTTGCTTTTTTTTTTTTTTTTTCCCTCTATTCTTAAGTTTCTAACAAGGAGAGACTTTGAAACACTATGAATATCCATTCCACATCTTCCCTTGATTATTGCTTGAAATAGTGTGTGTGTGTGTTATGCCTGTGAACATGTGTGTGGATATGCTCATACATGTATATACTAGTAGAGGTCAGAGGTCGGCTGAGGTTGAGTGTCTTCTGTCACTCTCCATCTTACGTTTTGAGGCAGGGTCTCTCACTGAACTCAGAACTCATGGGAAGGCTGGCCAGTGGTATCTGCTTATCTGTGCCTTCCCAGCATGACACCCAGACATTTTTTTTTTTAGCTTTTCTTAAAGTGTATGTATACATGTTTGTCTGTGAACCCTATGCATGTCTTGTTCTCAAGGATGTCAGATACCCTGAAACTAGGCTTACAGACAGCTGTTAGTCACATAGTTGCTTGGACTGAACCCGGGTCTTCTGCAAGAGTAGTAAGTTCTCTTAACCTTTGTGCCATCTCTCCAGCCCCAAGACTCATACTATTTTTCATGAGTGCAGCCTTCATTTATAAACCAAAGACAGGCATGGAGGCTCACACCTTTAATCCCAGCACTCAGGAGGCAGAGGTAAGTCAATCTCTGAGTTCAAGACCGGAACAGCCAGGGTTACACAGAGAAATTTTATCTTGAAAAAAGAAAGCCAGCAACAACCAAACCAAACCAAACAACACCCTCTCCCAAAAGACTAATTGTTTTACCGGCTGAGATTGGTGGGTAAAGTGCTTACATATAAGCATAGGGATCTGAGTTCGGATCTCCAGAACTTATTACACCCAAAAGAATTTTAAGCCATCTCTACCAGAAGTTTTTTTGTTTGTTTGTTTGTTTTGTTTTTTGAGACAGGGTTTCTCTATGTAGCCCTGGCTGTCCTGGAACTTGCTCTGTAGACCAGGCTGGCCTCAAACTCACAGAGATCTGCCTGCCTCTGCCTCCTGAATGCTGGGATTAAAGGCATGTGCCACCACCACCACTGGGCCAGAAGTTTTGTCCTGGGACCTGACGAGGATGTGGGTGGCTGGGGCCCTGCTAAGGGGCAGGGCAGTGGATGAATGTGGGGGCGGTGAGCGTGTCCTCTTAGCTGTCAACATGGCAGAAGCAGATGTGCCAGGCAGCATGGCAGGAGAGCCCTCAGTGAGCAAAGGGGCAATAGCGTGGTAGCAGTGGACACTGGTAGGCTTGTGTGCAGGGTCAAGGGTGTAGACTCCTGCTGCCTGCACCAAGAAAGCACTAAAGTGTGGCAAAGGCTGCTGTTATCTGGAGGGGGAGGGGAGTGGGGACAATACAGGGCTAGGCTTTCCTGCGCCCTCCTGCTCTTTCCTTCATTTGTGATGCAGGGACTCACAGGACTCTCGGCCCCCTCTAGGCATGAGGACTGATACTGGGGGAGGGGTTCATATGTGTCTTCAACCCAAACCTGCCCACCCAGAGAGTTCCAGTCCTCCCTCCATCATTAGGCCCCTTTGAGCCTCAGTTTCTCCAGCTATTAGGTATGTTCTGGGCTGATTGTGTATTAAGAGCAGGCAGCTCCAGGCAACCTTCGGGGACTGTGGCGCCAGAAGCAGGGGGCAGGCTGGTGACCCCGTGTGTGTTCTCTGTTCCCCCAGAAGCAGGAGGTGTGTGGGAACTTGACGCTGCAGCATCACATGCTGGAGCCTGTGCAGAGGGTCCCCCGCTATGAGCTGCTGCTCAAAGACTACCTGAAGAGGCTCCCCAGGGATGCCCCAGACCGCAAGGATGCTGAGAGTAAGTGGGGGTGGCTGCAAGGCTGAGGGGGAATCTCTGTAAGAGGCTGAGAACCCTGGGCTGAGACACACACACACACAGAGACAGACAAAACAGAGAGAGACACAGACCGATGACTAGGAAACCAGGAGAGTGATTTCATCTTTCCTATCACACAAAAGGATGCTGTCTCTGGGGAAGACACTGCCAAGCACTGGCTCCATTCAGAGCTTAGGATCCAGCAATGGGCCCCACAGTGCAAGACCAGAGTAACTGGTGGGCAGCACAGGGCCGGGCACTGTGCAAGAGAGTCAGGGGCACCATCTGTGTTGGCCCCAGCAGGCTCAGCAAGTGGCTCTGGGCTTTGTCTTTTCTCTGGGCCACACCTCTGGAGCAGTCTGGGCACCCTGAGCAAAGCCAAATACAGGAATAAGGCCTCCGGCTGGAAGCCATGCCCACATTTTCACTGCTAGCCTGTCCAGTGAGAACTTGTGGAGTTACCACATGCCCAGGCTCACTCAGTTCTCCTCATTCAGGGTCCCTGGAGCTCATCTCCACAGCTGCTGACCACTCCAACGCTGCCATCAGGAAGATGGTGAGTTCAGACTGCCCTAGGGAAGCAAAGCATAAGCAGGGAGAGTGGGGAGGGCAGACCATGTAAATGAGCACCCTGACCCCTGATTCCAGGTGGGTGAGCACAAAATCACCCAGTCTCCCTAGCACATGCTGGGTGCACATCCTAGCACTCCCTAGTAATACCAAGTGCATGCTCAGCCTCTCTCTGTACAAACCAGGTAGGCATACATCCACTGTCTTCGTTAGGCTTCCTATCCCTGTGAAGAGACACCATGACCAAGGCAACTCTTATAAGGAAAACATTTCATTGGAGTGGCTTGCTTATAGTTTTAGAGGTTCAGTCCATTATCATCATGGCAGGGAGCATGGTGGTCTGAGACAGACATGATGCTGGCTACATCTTGATCAGAAGGCAACAGGAAGTGGTTTCAGTGTCAACACTGAGCAAAGTTTGAACAAAAGAGACCTCAAAGCCCATCTCCACAGTGACATGCTTCTTCCAACAAGGCCACCCCTACTCCAACAAAGCCTCACCTCCTATTACTGCCACTCCCTATGAGCTTATGGGGGCCAATTCCATTCGTACTATCACAGACACCTTCCCAGTGCAAGCTAGGACATGCCATGACTATACCTGTATCTACTGCTCCTCTATATACCTGCTAGCAAGGTCATGGGTTCTTCCCTGCCCTCCAGGGTCCCATGCATCCTGTGCTGTTTTGTTCATTAGCATCTATGGCATCCATACAGAAGGGCCAGACTGACCTGCCAATTTCTAGGTACACAAGTAGAAATTGCAAGTCCAAGGACAAGACGTCTGATACCTAGCAAGTCCTACCCCAGCCCATGTTGCTATTGTCTAAGTCCCTACAGGCTCAATCCTACTGTGAATATTATTGAATTCTAACCAAGAGCTAGGGCTGTGAGCTGTTCACCTTGTACCCATTGTGCCTTTGTGCATTGTGACTCCCCAACCAGACCTGGGGAAGGTGATACATAGATTGGCTCAGTCTGGGTCATAGCCACTCAACTGACTCCTGCATGCCTCAATTTCCTTGTCTGCAAACTGGGGATAACATTGCCACTCACCTCATAGAGTTTGTGCAGAGTTAGATAACTAAAATGGGAATGGTGTAGAACAGTTCCCTGTCACATGACAACAGAGGTTTATAATTTATCATTCCCTGATTGGTGAGTTTCTAGTCACCCTTCATTACTCAGCTCGAATGTCATCCTGTGTTTCCTTCCCTTTTCGCTGGCAGCCATTTTGTTGCTACAATGCACTCTGTGTCACAGTTGCAGAGCGTGGCTTTGCTCACCTCTGGGTCCCAGGCAGTTCCTTAGCCCTTGGTGACTTTGCATCTGCCTGAGCTTCCTGTCTCTTGCAGGAGAAAATGCACAAGCTCCTGGAGGTGTATGAGCAGCTGGGTGGGGAAGAAGACATCGTTAACCCAGCCAATGAGTTGATCAAGGAGGGCAACATCCAGAAATTGTCTGCCAAGAATGGCACCATGCAGGACCGGCACCTCTTCTTGGTGAGCCAGGCTGCCATCCCAGCCCCAGAACTCCCCCGTCTGCCTTCTCAGGCTCTGGGCAGTACTAGCAAGATGCAGAAGCCCAAGGGTGGGGGGTTCTTCTGTGGCCTCCCCTGATGATTTGCTGGGCTGTCTCTTGTCAAGGGCTCTGCCCTGGTTTCCACAAGCATCTAATATTGATGCCTTTTATATCCAGCATTTCTGGTTTTCTATCATCTACCTCTGTTACAATGAAAGAGCCTCCAGGAACCAGAAATATAAAGAGTTGTAGCCCAACATCAAGATCCTAACTTTTCCCAGAACCAAACTGGGTTATGGGGAAGGGGAAAGGCAGGAAGGAATTATAGTACGGGCTCCACTCGAACAGCTGATGCAGGAAGAGACACGATTCTTTTTTCCCCATTTTTCTATAGCTACTTCTCTTTTTCCTCTACCTCCCCTTTCTCTTCTCCTTCCTCCTCTTCCTCTTTCTACTTGCCTCTTCGAAAGGCCTTACATTTGCTAGGTAAACACCCTATCATACTGTCTTATACTGGTGGCTCTGTATCTCTGAAAGTTTTCTTTCTTTATTTTTTTTTTTTAACCGCAGGCCTGTGGCATATCTAGCCACAGGTTATTGGCTGACAATGATTTCATCTTGTGGGATGGGCCTTAAATCCAGACAGAAATTGATTGGTTGCTCCCATGCCACTCAGGCCACTATTGTACCAGTGGGCATGTCTTGCCGGACCAGTTGTTACTGTAGCTCCTTGGGTTCACAGCTGGGTATGATTGAGGCTTACATCTCCTCTGGTAAAATGCATAGCATCTTTCGGCACTAGAGAAGCTATCCAGTAGGAGTGAAGCCTCTGGGTCAGCACCAACTTGATCTCTTCATGTTCTATGATTCAAGTATGTGGCATTTTCAGCAGTAGAGTCTTACTATCAAGTTCTGGTGGGTAACCAAGAGCATTGGCAGTAGCCTGTACCATGTGCGGGTCTGTGGGACCTCCCTGGTCAACAACTCCAAAAGATGTAACCCTTTCCTGAAACTGGGTTTTTTGTTTGTTTTTCTCTGGTATTTAGTGGGCTCATCACTGTCCATTACAGGCTCAGAACCTGCCTTTTGAAGGTTGTGCCTAAAGGCATATGTGTACATCTTTAAATGAACAGATATAAACTTACACATGTGTAATATATATGTATATGCACATATGTATTACTTTGAGATATTAAAGAAAGCTTATGTGGGTCCCAATGAGGGGCCCCCTGTGACTACCTCTCCCCATGACATCTTTCTTGCAGTTCAACAATGTGATGCTCTACTGTGTACCCAAACTAAGGCTCATGGGCCAGAAGTTCAGTGTACGGGAGAAAATGGACATCTCTGACCTCCAGGTGAGTGGGCCCCTCCCTCCTCTCTTATACTCTGGAAGGGGAACAAGCAGGGATGGGGATGCTAGGTTTTGATGGCCACCTCTGTGTCTCATGGGTTTCTGACACAGCATCTTGGCCTTGGTAGGTCCTAGCCTTAGATAGGCACTGCTGCCTATGGATTCTACATCAGGTCCCTGATGGTCTCATGCTGAAAGAGGCAGGAGGCTGGAGCTAAAGTTCATAGCCATGGGAGTCACACAGACACAAGATAGGCTGTCACTTTGTGAGGACAAGACTCAGGGTCCCAATTAAAGATCCAGAAGTGAAATTCAGGTCACAAATTCAGAATGGAACTAGGGCCTACTCACATGGCCTGTACCCTAGGCCACAAGTTGTCTCATTCCCTGTACTACCTCAAATCCTTCTGTCTTTGCTCCCCTTGATCCAAAAGCCTATTCCATATGTCATGATATTCATGGCAATATGGATTCTATCTGCCACTGAGAGAGGTTTGAATTTATAATTGCTCCAAAAATATTTTCTAAATAAATGCCTCTAACTCTCTGAAGAAGCAAAGATTTGATTAAACAACTACCCACTCCATAGAAATTCTCTTGGAATTCTCTGGATCCAGGTTAAGAAATAATTACAAGCAATGACCAGCTACAGGAGGAAAAATTGCTTTTTTCATAGTTAGAAGAAACTACTTTTGCAGAGTTGCTCTACTGGAAATCGGCCCTGGGCTAGACAGATGACTCAGCAGTCAAGAGAGGTTGCTGTCCTTTCAGAAGACCCAACTTCAGTTCCCGACACTGAGTGGCTCACAACTGCTGGGAACTCTAGCTCCAGGGGTTCCAATTTCTCCCTCTGGCCCCCTCAGGCACCTGTACTTATGTACATAATGGCACACACACACACACACACACACACACACACACACACACACACACATAAATGTTAAAAAAAAAAAAACAGTCCCAGCACTTGGAAGGCAGAGGCAGGAGGATCTCTGTGAGTTTGAGACCATCCTGGTCTACAGAGCGAGTTCCAGGATAGCTAGGGCTATTACACAGAAGAACCCCATCTCAAAAAACCAAACACACACACACACACACACACACACACACACACACACACACACACACACCAGTCCTGTTTTTTCAATGCACAGTGGGAAAGTCCAGAGGTTTGTTTCTGGCTGGGTCTGGTCCACATATCTAGGATGCCTCCAACTGTCTGACTGGGGTCAGGGACTCTTACAGGGACCAGCCCAAGAGCTGCCAGGAGCAACTTTGCTCTGTGGTTTTCTGCTGATGGAAGAGGGTGAAATCTGAGAGCCTCCAAGGATATGATATCATTCCATCTGGGTCCACTCCTTTATACCCACAATGCACCTGTTCCTGTGGGCACAAGCACCTTCTGAGGGACAGAGTCAAGGATCTTCTAAGCTTTTCATCCCTCCCAGGGAGGTGCAGGCTGTGCTGGGAAGGAAAGGCTTGGTCAGGGCTGCATGGGAACAATGGCTAAAGGAGGTATGATGGACAAGTGTATTTGCCAAGCATCTGTCTAAACACAGAGAGCAAGGCCCAGCTCTGTGTGGGCAAGACCAATGGCATGCTCTCCCCCTGAGCCTCAGCATCCCCACCTTATAGATCTGAGAGCTCATGGGATCACCCTGACACTTCCACAGGAAAAATAAAACAAAAACCTCAGAATGAGAGAACATGGATTTGTCTGTGTTAGGGAGCAGCTAAACAGCAACTCGCATTCATTCGCTCTGTTCTGTGTTCTTCCTGCAGGTGCAGGATATTGTGAAACCAAATGCAGCACACACATTCATCATAACAGGAAGAAAAAGGTCCCTGGAGCTTCAGACTCGGTATGGCACTAGCGTCTGCGGCTGTGTGAACATCTTTGAACTGAGACTGTAGCAGATGGCTTCTCTTACTGAATGAGATAACCCTTCAGTATGTTCCTACTCACACAGCTCAACACTTCACATAACCAAGGATGGATAACAACTAAGAACTAAGCTTTTAATTCTAGGTGTGTGTGTGTGTGTGTGTGTGCGCGCGCGCGCATGTATTTTTAAATTGAAGATGGGAAGATGTCACAGTGGGTAAAGTGCCTGCCTCATGGCATGAGGACCTGGGTAGCCAGACACAGCAGCATGTGTCTACAATTCCAGTCCTGTCCTTGAGGCTCGCTCTTTAGCCATCCTAATGGAATCAGTCAATGAGCTCCAAGTTCAGTAAGAAGTCCAGTATCAAAAGTAAGGTGGGTAGTGTTTGAGAAAGACACACAATACCAACCTCTACATAGATGCACACGAGCACATGAATACATGTGCACACACCTACTCAGATTTATTTATTTTTATTCTGTGTGCGTTGGTGTTTTACCTGTATTCATGTCTGTGTGAGGGTGCCAGAGCCTTGGAACTGGAATTACAGACAGTTGTAAACTGCCATGTGGGTGCTGGGATTTGAACCCAGGTCCTCTGGAAGAGCAGCCAGTGTTCTTAACTGCTGAGCCACCAATAGAGTTTCTATTGCTGTGATAAAACACTATAACTAAAATCAACTTACGGAGAAAAGGGTTTATTTCACTTACACTCCCAGGTCGTATCCGCCACTGAAGGAAGTCAGGGCAGGAACTGCTGCTTCCAGCACGCTCCCATGGCTAGCTCAGCCTGCTTTCTTCTATGACCCCAGAGCCTCCTACAGAGGGGCGGTACCACCCACAGTTTGCTGGATCCTCCCACATTATTCATTAATAACAAGAAAATGCCCCAAGACTTGCCTACAGGACACCTGATGGAGGCATTCCCTCAGCTGAAGTTCCTCTTCCTAGATAACTGCACCTTGCATCAGTTTGGCAAAATGCTAGCCAGGACGCCAGTCCTTCATCTGGCTTTTTTTCAGTTAATGTGTCAGGTTTCATCCTATAATCTCACATATTTTCCCAGAGTAGCACAATCCCCATCAGTATTATTAGCGGGAACTGGTGAGGTGCCTTAGTGGGAGAAAGCACCACTGCCAAGCATGATGACTCGACCGCCATCCTTCATGGTGGGACCTGCATGGTACAAAGAAAAGGCCAGCTCCTGCAAGTTGTCCTCTAAACAGCCAGAGGTGGCATTAACACCCGTACACACACACACACACACACACACACACACACACACACATTAAATAAGCTGCAATGATATTTTTAGAAATATCATCAGCAGGATCCCATGCGGGTGGTCTGAGCCTCACTGGCGCAAAGTGTGCCTAGAACAGAGCCCCACACTTGGACTTTAGTGCACATGCGTTTCTGCCTCTGTGCGATGAACCTCTGAGGGGAACTACCGCTCAGCAAGTGGTGTGTCTGCCGTATCTGGTCACACTGTCCTCCAAGGCCAAGCTTGAGCTCTCACAGGCAGTGTGCCGGGAATACAGTCTGTCACATTCCACCTATGGCCTGAGAGCTTTGTGATCATCTGCGAGGCTCCAGGGTGCTGTTGGTCTGCAGGACGAGCCTGGCTCCATGGGGCCACATGTGTTCTGAACACTGAAACTACCTTTCCAGCCTTGAGTTGCAGTTACAAGGCGGTGGTGAGTGGCTAGAGAGGCACACAGGGGTGTCCATGGATGGACTGATAAAGTACTGATTTTGTCTTCACAGGACAGAAGAGGAGAAGAAAGAATGGATTCAGGTAACTCTCTCAAGTCTGTTCTCTCTCTCTGCGGATCAAACCTAGAGCCTGGGGCCTGCTCAACAAGAGCCCTGCTTCTGAGTTGCATCACCAGCTCTTGGTTTTGGGGGATAGCTTTTGTTTGGTTTGGGGGGAGGGGGAGGGGTTGAGACAGGGTTTCTCTTTGCAGACCAGGCCAGTCTCAAACTCATAGAGATCTGGGTATAGGTTTTGTTAAGGGAACAACATTGACTTCAAACCCTCAGCCCTCCTGCCTTGGTATCCTGAAGGCTAGGATTTCAGACATGCATCACCATATGTGGCTTACATCCTCATGTTATTGTAGTATGGCCATTTCATGTTGGACCACATGACCCAGGGACTCTTCCCTAACACTAACACTGCCTGCCCTCATGTCTGAAGGGAGGCGTGGCCATGAGGTGCCTCTAGATATGCTTTCCGGGTACCACAAGCCTTCCAATCCGTTTACTTGTTTGAGCCCCATCTCCACAAGTAAGGAACCAGGGTCAGGAGGGGCCTCAGGCTAGGCGTTGTCTTTCTGGAGCCAGTCTCTTTGGTCATGAGTCATCGGTCAGGAAAGGTGATCAGGGCTGCCCTGTGGACACCTGGGCCCTGTGCTCCCTGTGTCCTTCCCTGGCTCCCTGACAGCCCTGTGGCTTTGCTGTGTGTACAGGTTATTCAGGCCACTGTGGAGAAGCACAAACAGAAGACTGAGACCTTCAGGGCCTTCAGCGGTGCCTGCAGCCAAGATGAGGAGCCCAGCCTGTCTCCAGACCAGCCTGTGAGTCAGCAGCCTGTTGTCTGGGGGAAGGAGGAGTCAGCTCTTGGCCAGGGAGAGAGGTCTAGGGTGTGACACAGACAGCTGGAACACACATTCCCTGCTTTTCCTGTGCTGAGTACCACCGCGACCCGCAACCAGCCACCCGCTGCACCTGCTGCCTTGCGGGTTAGTGTCCGTGTGGAGGACACCAACTTTTATGCTGTTTTGCCATCTCCATGTCTTCAGCAACAAGGTAGCCATGAGCATCAGGGGACCTTATCTTCCTATGGACCTGAGCCTCAGAGGCCCAGTGACACTCCCAGGCCACTGCAGTGGTACAGACATCCTCAGGTTCAAGTGGATGTCTTTTTGTGCTTATGTTTTCTCCCCAAATTCCCCTGCACCCCTGAGGTGTCTGTTCAAAGCCCTCTGCCTGTAGAATCAGGGGTATATGTTTCCCCATCCTCTGTGCAGCGGCCCCAGGGGTACAAAAAGGAGCCGTGACTGAGACAGGGGCTAGGGATGGCCATCCCTCATGTTGAGGCTTCCCCATACTTAGAGCAGACGGAGTGTGGAAGGTGATTTCTGCTCTGTGGGAGGACAGCCCTAGAGGCTGTGGGAAGAGGCAGTCTGGGACAATGATATCCACCCCCCCACACACACATACACACACACTCCCTCCGCCTTCGTGGGTTGCTTGCTCACACTCACCAGGTGTGTCTGGAGGGAACACCTGGCCCATCCTGACTCCTCAGTCTACCCACCGCCAGCCGGCTGGTCTCCTGGCCTCAGGGGTCTGCCTATTCCTTATGATTTGCGTTCAACCCTCTCCCGTTTTTCCTGGATATATACCTGAGGAAAAGTTAACACTCTTCGAAGGGAGGATCCTGTGAGCTCCTTGAGGGCAAGTGACTTAGAGGCAAAGGGTACAGACAGGCTGATGTTCATCAGAAGAGCCTGGAGCATGGGAAAGTCTGCAGACTCTCCTCACAGACCACAAGGATGGGGAACAACCTCGCCCTTCCACGACTCATGATTTTTCAGTATCAAAATTAGGGTGGGCCAAGCCAGCCTCACCTTGACACCCAGGTGCCTTCAGCTCAGGGAGTCCCAGCATTTATTTATTATACCGTATACACTACTCCCCCATGCACAAAGGTGTTAGGTGGAGGGAATGTCTTCTGCTACACGGGCATGTCCCGTGACTGAGAAACCACTTCACACGGATCTCTGTTCTCTTGCAGATCATGAGTGCCAGCTCTGTGGAAACTGCAGGGGTAGCCGACAGCAATGGGGGTACTGCAGGGGTGAGTGAGTGACCAGGGATAAGCGGGAGTGGGAGGTGCTGGGGCTGGGGTCAGACCACGGCATCCTGAAGGGTGAGGATCTGGGACTCAACTTGCCTAGGTGTGTACTTGTGAGGCTGTGCCTGAGGCAGGGTACTGGTGACTTAAGTAGCAGAGGTGGAGGCCACAGGAAGCCTGTTCGTGGATGTTACTACATGTGCCGTCTGATCTCTGTGAATTGCCGTGAGCTCGCTGTGTGGAAATTCGCCTTGATAATGTCTGTAGTAAAGGAATGCCAGCTCCCCGTGACAGCAGTGTGAAGACAGGTTTGTCCCTCATACCAAGCAGGTTTTCTGGAAGCTGTGAACTCCCCATCTCTCTCGCTGAGAGACTGGCTGTGGGAACTAGAAGTGGGGTCTTTATTTTATTTTGGGGTTGTATGATAGGCTGAGAGACACACATTGCTGTGGACCAGCCACTGAACCACATCACCACCACCACTTGGGGCTTGATATTCACAAACACCCACGACAACGGTAGTTGGGACAACTCTGGGCCACAGCTTCCCTTGTAGCCTGGAGCGATAGTCCTGCCCAGCATCTTGCTGGGCCCCATGGGTTACTATATTAGGGAAGTGACTGGTGCCACCTGGTAAGGTATCTCCAGCTCATCCCAGACATGGGCTCTTCTCCCTGAGCCCCTTGACCACACCATGAGGTACAGTCCTTTGTTCTCTCCTGCACACCTCCCTCCCTCTCTCTCTCCCTCCCTCTCTCTCTCTCCCTCCCTCCCTGCCTGCTCTTTACCTCCCTTTCTTTTAGTCTCACATTCTGTCTCTGTCTCTCCTGGGCTTCTCTTTCCTCTCTCTCCATCCCTCAGTTGCTCATGCATAGCCCGCATCTCCTTGCTTTGGAGACAGGAAAGGGGTACACGGATGGGGCTCAGAACAGCTAGTGACTTGGCCCTGGAGTTCTGAGACCATGGCCTTGTGAGGTTATGACTGCTGTGTTTTCCTTCCCATGAAGAGGAGGATGTAGGCTCAGGTCAGTCAGGTGAGCTGCCTTGAAGCAAGTGATGGACAGGCCATGGGCGGAGCCACCTGGGATAGAGAACAGAGGAGGGCTTGTGTGACAGTGAGTCCAACGCACGGACCATGGCCTGTCAGGGTGGGCCTGAATATTGCTGTTCCCCTTCCTAGTGACCACAGCTCCCCCAAGCCCCACAGATGTGAGCTTGTGCCGGCCATTGCCAGGCAACCCTGAGAACGCTTGTGAAGTTTGAGGGAGGGCTGAGACATTTCAGAAGTCTGATGAGGAAAGCGCAAGGCAGACCCTGGGATAAACAGGAACTGGATGCGAGGAGTTGTAATGCTGCTGCTGTCTGGCCTCTGCAGAGTAGGCAGGCACCCAAGGATGAGCTCTGTTGAAACTGGAAGTCAGGGTGCCTAAACATGTCGTGTGCAGCCAAAGGGGAAACAAACATCTAGACACCCCTGTGGTTTCCTGCATTAGTCTGTCTGTTCCTGACACCTACTGCCAGTGCTCTGACCATCCCTGGCTCCACCTACTGCCAGTGCTCTGACCATCCCTGGCTCCACCTACTGCCAGTGCTCTGACCATCCCTGGCTCCACCTACTGCCAGTGCTCTGACCATCCCTGGCTCCACCAGGTCCCCCGGCCTTTGTACCCACTGTCAGCTCTGCCTACATCCAGGAAGTCCCTTGCTCCAGGATTCCTGATAAATACTTCTCATTCTCATGCCACCTACTCTACTGTCAACCTTCTGAGTTGCTGATGTATATTTATGAGGCTGGCTTTACCTAGAGCCATGCAATCCTGTTAGTCTCCTTCCTGAAGCTTGTGGCTGCACCACAGTTGAGCCTCCAGAGGGACACATGGCCACCTGGTCAAGCCAGGGTCAGCAGTTCATGAACTCACAGTCTGAAATGCTCCCAAGCAAGCTCCACAACTTTCGGCCAGGGTGGGTATCCATGACCATCTCCCTGATGATGCCTTAGACTCTGTCCTCAACCCTGGGGTGGGCTTGTGGAGGCATTTCTGGTGACCAACGGATGGTTAAGGCATTCAGGCCCAGGAAATCTACCAGCGATTTGTTCATGCAATCTCTAGGGCTAAGCCCACAGGCCCAGGAGTTGCAGGCAGGCAGAGGTTCAGGGTAGGGATGGGTACTATTTATAGGAATAGTGGTGCCTGGGACTTCCCTGAGGACATTAGCAGAAGTGCTTGCAAGTGAGATGTCTCACAGCTAGGGCTAAATGGGGTCAGTACCAAAATTATAAGGATATAGCTAGAAGGAAGGAGAGCTGCCTCTGGATTGAAGCCTCGGGTAATTGTTGCCTACTCCAGCCTTACTGTCTTCCGAGAAAAAGATGGGGAAGCCCTAGGGTACTAATACAGGATGCTTTTGTCAGCTGCCCATGTCCTTTGATTGGGAAGAGACAGCTCGGAGCCCCAGAGGCCTCAAGCCATATCCAGGGCCTGCCTGGATCAGGACAGGGTCGCCACACCTTGGCACAGTGGCCAAACTTCATGCCTGGTCTATTCCACTTGCTCTTCCTGCTTCTGCCCCAGGACAGAGCCTTTTACAGGTTCACAACATTCACCCCACAGCAGCCCAGTGTCCGTATCTGATGTCCCTGTCCCTTTCTCCTTACTAAATGAAGCTGAGGCCCACCCTTCCTCCAACAAACAGGTCTATGTTGCAGATACTCTAGTAGATATGGCCATGGGCTTCCCCCTCGATTCCTCCATTGAGCATGCCTGAACTGAATCAAGCTGAGCTGCGCAGAGCTGAGCTGAGATTTTGGTGAGCTCAGGATGGTTCTGAGGCATCTGTGGACCTGCACTGAAAGACACAATACCACAGAGGAAACCTACAAGATGCTCAATAGCAAGGTTTCATTTTTAATCAGAAGGGTTTTGGCCATGGGTGCCAGACTAATACTGCTTCTTGGCATGTTTGGAGAAGAAAACAAACCCCTTCACTGTTCGGGGCTTGTGTCCTGTGCTAGGTGTCTTCCAACACACAGCCTCTATCGGTCCCTCTTTCCTAAGAGAAGCCAAACCCCATCCAGGAAAATTTGCAAGCACCTTTGCAGAATTCGGAGGCTTCCTCGTTCTGTTAAAAGTTCAGTTGCTCACAACAGAAGTATACACAGACACACACACTCACAACCACAGTCCGAAAGGCCCCTTCAGAGTTCCATACCTATTCTGAGTGACATAGACCTGTCCAAGATGCCATCAAAGCATTGTCTCCGATCACCCACAAGACAATGGCTTCCCAGTGACACTGGACTTGCCTTTTCTCCATAAGGTCCCATTCTGTACCTGCCATTGGACTCCAGAACAGAAGTGCCATTAGAGGAATAGAGGGACAGGTTTGGTGTCAGCTGAGCCTGGCCACCTCCTGTTGGAATGACTCCATACAGGACCTGATATCCTTAGCCTGTGTCCAAGTGGACTACTGAGTCATTCTGTGACTTGATACAGGTCACTGAGTGGGGTTCACATCTGTCTTGCCAGGAGGTCCTTTTAGCTACCAAGCTAACCTGCTGATGCAGGAACACTGAGGAAATCACTCTGTTGACCCTCAGTGGAGAACAGCTTCAGGGTAGATGTAGATGCTTTTGGCTGCTTCGTCATTACTTCCTTGCAGTCTTGGAACTAGACTTCCTGTCATGTCCCACCTGTATAGGAAATCTGGCCCGGGGTCCTTTGGTCAGCCTTGCCTGATGATCTCATCCATAAAGGAAGTATACTTGGTTGAGAGACCTGTCCTTGGCTACACTTATGTGTCCTCCTCATACCTTGTCTACCTGATCCTCCATGTTCAGCAAATCCAATCAGGCCTCTTGTGTTGTGGATGGCATGGTTGGAGAACCAGTCACAAGAAAATTGGGCTGCAGTGGACCTCAGCATCATGGGATCCATGTGGGGATAAAACTCCTGTCTGGAACACATTTTAAAAAGCTGTCTTGGTCCCATGATGCTTACCAGGTGAAAGGTGAAGAAGCCGAGGGACTTCTGTCATCTAGTCTGTCCCTAAGTCTTAAAGCGCTTTGCTTCAGGAACTTCCCTTTGTCTGAATCCCATCGGTCCCAGGGCCTGATCACCTCAGCCTTCCCCCCTTCACCAAATGCCCCACTAGAGAACCCTGGTGAGCCCCAGAGCCTCCTGCATTCTCAACTACCTTGTAGAACTGACGGCTGGGGCCTCTGCCTGAGGTCCCTGAGAGCCACCACATGTCAGGACTATTTGGGCACCAGTTAATCCCACCACCTTGACATTTGGATTCCTCATAGGAAAAATAGGGGCATGGACATCTTGAGCGTGGGCAGAGGGTGAAGGCTGCAGGGCTACAGCACACCTGAGGATGGTTTCCTTCTGTGCCGTCTTCTTTCGGCTGTGTCTTTTCTGCCCCAGGTGCCCCCTACCCTCCCTGTCTCAAGGGACCACTGGGACCCCTCAGCAGTCCCGAGAGGTCACATCGGGGAAGTCTTACAGGGGGCTGGGGGTTCCTGAGGCTAGGTAGGGGGCACACTTCCAGATGCAGGAAGACTCAGCCAGTGTGAGTGAGGGTTTTGCATGTCAGGTAGGTCTGGAATGCCTGCCATCCACCCACTGGGCACAAAGCCTTGACAGTGGACCTGAGAACAAGGGACATTGCAGAGGGAGGAGGTCAAGGCCATCTTCCACCTTTGTCCTTGGAGCAAGGACTCACAAAAATGGAAGAAGGCGATGCTTCAGAAGACACAGCAAGAGGTCAAGTCTGAACACAGCCTCAGCTGGCATGGTTTCCTCACAAGGCCTGTTTCTATAGGCCTGGCACACAGGCATGTAGACACACATGTATGTTTTATGCACAAGGTATGCCTGTCCCCAAGTGTTCAACACGGACTAGGCATGTGACAGGATGAAGGATGACCCTCGGGATCTGGGGGGGGGGTGTCACATGATCCCTCTAGTCTGCAGTCAAGGACACCACAGGTTCTGGCAGCAGGTGCCATCTGTATAGACTCCTGTCCACACCACTTTCCTCTGCTTTCCTCACAGTATTTTCTCAGACACAGCAGATAAAGCCACTGGCCAAGCTGTCTTGACCTCTTGGAACCTTACTTTTCAGTCAGTGCATGGTGTGATACGTGGTGCCCTGGGGTGCTCCCTGGGAGAAGGGCTGGGAATGGGGTACAGCTGCTTTAGCTCTGCCTATTCCCTTCTACAATGTCCACTTTTGCTATGGGCATTGTCACTTAGAGAATCCTTAGCTAACCTCACCTCCCCCACCCCCACCCACAGTGGGCCACCACGTGTTCACACTCCACAGCTAATGATGGCCACTTGCTTCCTTGTAGGTCGAGTCCAGAAAGTTGTCCTCTAAAACAAGACGTGACAAAGAGAAGCCTGGATGTAAGAGCTGTGGTGAGACCTTCAACTCCATCACCAAGAGGAGGCATCGCTGCAAGCTGTGTGGACAGGTGAGCATGGGACGGGGGGGGGGGTGTGGGGGTGTGGGTGGGAGGGTGGATTGCACAGAGCCAGGTGGCCACTCATTGAGTCTTTCCAGGTTCTAGCAGGGCGGCATATGCTTCTTAACAGTCGTCATGTGATGTGCACTGCTAGTGGGCTCCGAGCCACAAGCCACATGTCAACCCTGCTAGGCTGCCTCCTTCAGACCCTGTATTAGTTACTTTTCTCATTGCTGAGTCATGCAATACCTGACAGGAACCAATTTAGTCTGAGGGTACACAATCCACTGTTGCAGGGAAGACATGGCAATCAGGGGTGTGAAGTACCTGGTCAGGTTGTAGCTGCAGTCAGGAAGCAGGAAGTGGACAGGAAGCGGGAATGGGCTATCATATATTAGGCCCTACCCCCTAGTGACTCACTTCCTCTAACAATGTTTTCTACAGTCTTCTAAAGCAGCACCAGCCACCTAGTGTTCTCATATAATGAGCCTGAGGGGGACATTTCAGATTTAAACCAGAACACTGTCCCCTACATATAGATGATCCTTGAGCATGAGCCTCTGAAAGAAAAGCTAATTTCTGGGCAGCTGTGATGCCTGATAACATTCCTTCCAGCTGGAAAACTGCTGGCACTGTGCCCCAACCGGGAGGGAGTAAGATGTAGTGTGCCTGTCCTGTGGTAGAGAGGTGACGTCCTTATGTAAGGTGTCCAGGAGGCAGGAGAAGGTGGAGGGCTTGGCCATGGTGGGAGTGCTCCAATGATGAGCAAGGTCTGATGGGATCGTGCAATAAGGGGCCACCACTGACTGGTGTCCCCAAAATATACCAGCTCCAATCCTCCTCACTCAACCTCAAATCCTTGCTCCTGACAATGAGCAACTGAATCAATACTTAACACTGAAATTCAAAGCGTCCTTGGAGAAGGAACTGATCGCCTAAGTATATTTACACTTAGATAACAAAGCTGCACCTGGGGGAGGGATTGAGAGAGAGACAGAGACAGAGAGACAGAGAGAAACACAGAGAGTGTGAGCCTATGTATCTCACAGACTGGCTTGAAGCTGTTTATTCAAAGGATGTGAAGACTGCTGTTCTATAATTTTATATTTTCATAAAATTTTACCATGCTGGCTGGGGTAAGGAGGGGGAGGAATAAAATAAGGAATCTCTGGATGGATGATGATGGATGGGTGAGTGGGTGGATGGATTGATGGATGAATGGTAGATGATGTTCAGTGGATGGACGGATATGAATGAGTGGTGAATGCATGATAGATGGAGAGGAGTTGGATGGGTGAGTGGATAAGTACAAAAGGGATTTGGAGAACACAGGATAACCTGTAGGTTGGGGCTCCAGTCCAAGTGCATGGGCTTAAAGATGTCATCCAGACTAGGAGGAACCTGGTGCTCCTGGCAGATTTGCAGTGGGTTGCAGTGATTGCAACTGAGGTAGGAGCACCTGGGAGACAACTGGAGTCTGTGGTCTCTATTAAGGGAGGATAGGTTGGATGGTTTTGGCACACACCTTTAATCTCAGCACTAGGGAGACAGACGCAGGTGGATCTCTATGAGTTAAAGGCCAGCTGGGTCTACAGAATGAGTTCCAGGACAGCCAGGACCATACACAGAAATCCTGTGTCAAAAAAAAAAAAAAAAAAAAAAAAAAAAGAAAAGAAAAGAAAGAAAGAAAGAAAGAAAGAAAGGGAAAAAGGAAATAGGAGAGGTGTGAGGGCTACTTTACCCAGAACCTGGGCTGCAGTTGGAATGATGAAAGACCCCAGGTTGGTTGGTCAGTGAGCTCCAAGCACCTGTCCATCTCTGCTTCCCTGGATGGGCATAGAGGCAAGCCACTATACCCAGCTTTGACATGGGCTGGGGGATCTGAACTCAGGTCCTCATGCTTGAACAGAGAACACTTTACAGACTGAGTCATACCCCCATGGTTTTGATTTTTTTTCAAGACAGGGTTTCTCTGTGGCTTTGGAGGCAGTACTGGAACTAGCCCTGTAGACCAGGCTGGTCTCGGGCTCACAGAGATCTGCCTGCCTCTGTTCCCAAGTGCTGCGATTGAAGGCCTATGCTACCACCACCTGGCGGTTTTGATTTTTTTAAAAGGGATTTTTGTTATTATTTTTTTTTCAAGACAGGATTTCTCAGTAGCTATGGAGCCAGTCCTAGAACTCGCTCTGTAGACCAAGCTGGCCTTGAACTCACAGAAATCTACCTGCCTCTGCGTCCTGAGTGCTAGGATTAAAGGTGTGTACTACCTCTGCCTGGCTGATTTTGATTTTCTTAATGGCAGTGTCCTGGGTTTTGTTACATGAGTGGGCTATGTTCTTTTCTTACACACAGGGTTACGGAACTCTGGGTGGTCCTGAGCACTTAGGGAGACTAAAGTCACTCTCTGCTACAACATGAGTTCTAATTGGTATTAATAGCCTGAAGTCAGATATTAGGGGGTGACAGGTGAAAGATCAGAGAAGCAGAGCAGCCAGCCACTAGAGCTCTTACCTCTACGAAATCCTCAGACTGAAAAGAGACTACGTTCCTGTCTCATCCTGCCTATATTCCTCTCTCTGCCCAGCCATCTCACTTCCTGTCTGTTTGTACAGACCTCCAGACCTCTATGGTTAAGTAGTGGCTTGCTCTGCCCTCTGATCTTCAAGCAAGCTTTATTTGTTAGAGTATAAGCAAGATATCACCACACTCTGCCCTTAGATGTGGCTTTCAGCATCCCAGGACAAGCATTGCCCCCTCCCTCTACAGTTCTTTCATCCTCATCTGCTCGGGATGCACGCATGGTCAAAGGCACCCTCTTGTCTTGCAGGTCATCTGTAGGAAGTGCTCAGAGTTCAAGGCTGAGAACAGTAAGCAGAGCCGTGTCTGCCGAGAGTGTTTCCTGGAAGAACCCTTGGTCCCCGCAAACCCCACAGAGACTCCCACAGAGCTCAAACAGAATGCAGAGGTGGGTGTCCCTGGTTCCTGTAGGGGGCATCTCAATGTGGTTCACAGGTCTGGAATCAGGGAAAGATGCTTGGAGCATGTGTGTCTAAAGACATCTCAGGATTAGTCAGGGCCAGGGAAACGTTTGCACCTAGGAGTTTGATGGAAATGTGTGTCAGCTCCACTTCTGGCCTGATTGGAGGTGCCCAAATTTAGGCATTGAGGCTCATGGGGCACCTCCTTCACCTTAGGGCAGGTAGAACCCCGTGTGTGTGTGTGTGTGTGTGTGTGTGTGTGTGTGTGTGTGTGTGTGTATTGGTGGGGCTGTTACTTTTCCAGCCTTCCTTCTTAAAGAACACAGTCCTTTTTATGGAGTAGCAGGACATCTCTGAAAAGAAAGCCTTTGTTTTCCAGGAAAAATACGTTTTCCTTTGTCTTCACTTGATGCCTGCCGTTGTGGTCTCCTGGGAGTTCTCTCGGATGTCAGTCTCTCTCCCAGAGATGGTGTGGGATGGTCCAAGAGGGCGAGGGCTCAGCAACTCTCAAAGCTCCTGACATCCTAGCTGGAGCCAAGGTGGCAAGAGCTTTGGCTGTCTAGGAGGTCAAGGACACAAGGCTGTTGGGGACTGAGGCTACAGTGGCCTTGATTGTGAGGCTCTGGCCCCACCTGCTGCTCACCCTTCATTCTGCACTTTCAGTCTGGAGATGCAGTCGGGGAGTCCTAAGGGTGTGGCCAAGGCCTTGGAGGGCGCTGAGTCTGACAAGAGGGGTCAGAACCAGGTTTATGTGGCTCAGGGGTCTTGTTTCCATGACAGCACTAAAACATCAGAAGGGAGACAGGGTCTACAGGAGGTGTATGTGAGGTGTGTGCACACGCGTGTGTGATGTGGAAAGTGTGTGTGTTTGAATGTGAGGGGGAGGGTATACTGTGTTTGGTCCCTTCACCCTGTGACCACGCTCTTGTACTTACTATTGAATTTCCCCTGCTTATTTATTATGTAGCCTGGGCTAGCATGAGATTTCTATTCCTCCTGCCTCAGCTTCCTGAGTGCTGAGGTTATAAACACATATAACCAGTGCTGGCTTCCCCTCGATACTTTGATGTTGTCCTAACCTGGAATGGGCTCACTTTCCCAAGATGGCGCAACTCTAGACCCTACTTGAGACCACATGGCACCCTTCCACTGGCCTCCAGTGACCCTCTGAACCATATAACACTGCCTCAGCCTGTATCCAGGCTATGTCTATGTGGTCACCTCCTTCCAAGCATGGGCCCTGGTTCAGGTTCAGCCTCCTGAGGGGACAAAGAGATCACAACAGGCAAGACTAGCCTCAATCTATTGTTCTGTCTCCAGAAGCCTCCCTCTGTGGATCCTCGGCCTAGCCTGGTCTGTGGCACCCTGCGTCTGTCTGACAATGGTACAGCCTGGTGTGAAGTATGGGCAGACATCCCTGAGTCAGACCCCCAGGTGCTAGTCCTGATGGCTGGCAGCCAGGTAAGTGTCCCTGTCCCTGTTCACGCCCAGGGCTATGTGCTGTGAGAGGTGCTTTGCTACCATAGTGCAGAGCCTCAAGCCTGAAGTACCCGTGGCAGGTCTGGGCCACTTTGACCTTTCCAGTCATGTGACCTGAGCCTCGACTTCTCCCAATGCCCAGAATAACCATCTGCTTGCCTCTCATGGAAGACAGATCCCTGTGATATCAAAATCCCAAAGACAGTCAAGGGACACAGAAGCTGGACCCTCCTCCCCACACACATTCGTTCACTCATGACTTGCTTCATTCACACATCTTGGGCAGATGCATCTAAGCACTACTAAGCCTTGCCCTGCTACTCTCAACTCCCATTGCTAAGTCATAGGAGTTATCCTGCCTCACTTACCCTGGAACAGGGTTCTGGAGAAGGCCATGGATCTGGGGAGGTCTGTTGAAGTGGCCAAAACTTCATCCCAGCAACTACCTGAAAGCCTGTCAGGCAGTCTGTTTGCAGTTGTCCTGGCGACAGGCTCCACGCTAGTGGGCCTGTGCATGGTGGCGTGCTTGGGCGGCCACTGGCATGAGCTGGAGGCCTGCTAACCCTCTGCCTTTCCTGCAGGCTGGCAGACTGCTGCATACCATCCCACTCTCTGGCTGTACTATAACAGTGCCCGACCCTGAAGAGGGCCTGGAGGCAGAGTATGTGTGGAAGCTGCATCGGGGCCTGCAGACCTGGTGGCTGAGTGCCCCCTCCACAAAGCTTCAGCACTGCTGGCTGGAAGCTCTGAACACTGCTGCCCGTGAGGACACAGCTGGGGACGGACCAGGTGCCTCGAAGCCCCAAGCCTCAGCAAGCACAGACACTCCATGAGCAGAGCCTCCTCCTGTTCTTTCCACTATTGTGTTTGACCTGTGTTCTTTTCGGGTGACCTTAGAAGTCACGTGAGGGAATGAAGGACTCCTGGGACCACTGAGGATGGACTGATAGCCCAGAGGAGAGTAGCAGTGGGTCCAAGACCACTCAGCAAGTCTTGGGCTTCTGACTCCAGCCCCATCATTGTGGTCAGAGCAGGGGAGGATGGCCACTGCAAAGCAAATGCCATCTGAGCAGGCTGACTGGTAATACCAGCCCTCAAAGGCACAAGGAGGCCAGGTGGGCACTGCCCAGGGGTGAGCGTGTCTAACCTGGTGTGATGTCACTCTGGGGAAGGCAGAGATGCGGGTAGCCTGACCTGTATCCACTGTGTGAGCTGGACCATGACCTGGGCTCCACCCCCTCTGGGCTTCACTTGCATACTCTGCCCTCTCCTGAAGCATTATTGCTCATCTCCTATTCCTGCAGAGCCCTTGAAGGAAAAGGAGTGAGGGCCTTCTTATCCTACCAGCCACACTCAGAGACTGGGGAGGCTGGCTCTCACCCCTGTGTGGCAGGTTTAAGAAATTTCAGGCTGGCTCCTCTGTGGGCATGTGCCACGCTTGTCAGCATAACTAAATGCTGGCAGTCAGCCTCAAGACCTTCAAACCCACTCTTCCCAGGATTCCCCTCAAGGCAGGTGGCTAGAAGAGGGACGGTAGGTAAAGGTAACAAAATGGCATGGGCCACACACTTGTCTGGGAGAGCAGTTCTGTATCCCAGATGCTGTAGTGAGTGGGTGAGTAAGCCATACGGCAGGGTGGGGATCAAGATGTGGGGATGTGACAAAGGTCATGGGGCTCAGGGTGTGGCCTCTCTAGGAGTAGGACATTTAGAGAATAATGATGGAGTTTTTGTCCTTCAGGATTGCAGCCCACCAGCATCAGCACAGCACTGTGTGGAGATAACTGGGCAGGTATAAGGGCAACAACCTGGAGCGGAGAGGGGATGTAGAGCCAGCAGTGAGGGCCGGGTACAGGGAACACTGGGAGGCTCAGATGAGGTGGGGCCTCACGTGATGTGGGGGCCCAGGTAAGGCAGGATGGCGGTAAAGTGGGTGGAGCAGAAGTGAGGTGGACGGGATACAGGTGAGGTGTGAGAACACAGCTGAGTCTACGTAAGAACCAGCTGGATGGGCATGGTTGCCTGGGGATTGCTTGCAAACAGCTGGTCCTCTGCCTTACACTCTCCCTGCTGAACTGAATGTCCCAGTCCACCCCGAGGAGAGAAAACAGCAAAACAAACAGAACTCTTCTATACTAGGAGGAATGGGGCCAGGGTCTTTTAGCTACTACTGAGTAAACGTAGCAAAGTCCTTCCTACCCAGCTCCGCATGGGGCAGTGGTGAAGGTGGTCCACATGCAACAGCAAACCAAGGGGGCACCTTCCTTGGCTGGCACACACTTCGTGGCAGGCACACCAGATGGACACAAGCGCTCGGCCTCCTGACATCCTCTGCTGCTTCCTTCTGCTTGCAGAAGTTCTGGCCTTTGCGTTTCAAGGATTCCAAGTGTCCATCCTCTGAGGAATCAGAGCCTCAGGAGGATGCCTGTATATCCTGCCCCCAGGATATGAACTAGTCGGCTTGCAGTTTGGGGGCCCTGATGCTACCTGAGCAGAAAGGCGCATGAGTTACTTTTCTTGTTGCAGTGACAAAGTATTAGACAAGAGCACCTTACAGAAGAAAGGGTTGTTTGTCTCACAGTTCCTGATGAGGAACTGTGGTAGCAGGAGTGCTGGCTGCATTCCATCCACAGTGGGAGAGCAGAAAGGGATGAATGCCAGGGTTCTACCCACTTTCTCCTTTTAATTCATCTCGGGCCCCTAAGCCATGGAATGTTGCTGTTCACGTTTGGGGTCCGTTTTTTCTAATCAAGTAAACCTTTCTGGAAACACCCGAATGACATGGTCAGAATTTTGTCATCTTGGTGATTCTGAATCCTACCAGGTTGGCAACACCAACCATCACAAGTCCACCCTTGTCCATTTGACACTCAAATACATCACGTTTAAACTTTAACATTCGCTCTTGGAAGCCTTATGCATCTGCAGACTTCCCTTTCCCGGGGCGTAAGCGCAGTCTCTGCTGAGTCTCGAGGCCCTGTGAAATAAACAATACACACTTCTGACACACATTCCCATTTCAAAAATGAGCGTGGGGCACGGGAAGGACACTCAACACTTAAGAGCACTCGATGCTCCTCACAGAGGGACCACAGGTCAGTTTCCAGCACCAATCAGGTGATTTACAGGTTGCCATAACTCTAGCTCCAAGGGATCTGATGCTCATTTTTAACCTTTATAGGTACCCACATGCATGTGAACACACACACACACACACACACACACACACACACACGTCTTCAAAGCTAAGGCTTAGAGCCACAACCAAGTGAGACTGAAAGCAAAACTGTAAACCAGCAAGCTAAACATCAATTCTCAGTCCAGCATATAGGCTACAATGGCATCACCTACAATGGGTATCCCCTTCCCTCCCCTTCTGCTTCCTGCAGCCCACATAGCCTGTCATTTTGCCCAGTTCCACCCCATACCTGCAGCTTTCCTCTAGAGGGATCTCACAGTTCCGGCATCTTCAATATCCTAGAGCCGCAACTCTAGGCTCTACCTTCATGGCTTCACACAGTGGTCCTTCAAAGCTCTTCATTTGAAGAGAATCTGACCACATCACACACTGTCTGGCCTCAGCTGCCTTCTAGGACTTTTAGTGCAAGCATCCCAAACACTGAAACTCTTGCATCTTGCATGCCTATAACCAGCACTAAGTTCTGCTTCCGGCTCCAAATGTAGTCTGACTCCCTTCGACCCCAGCTGTGGTGGCTCCGGTGTACCAGGGTGGTCTAATCAGAGGAAACACTTCTCTAGGTGGTTGTTTTCAAGCAGGAAACCTCAGTGGCGTTCACAGGCCAGGCTCTCTCCTTTCAAACGGATTTGCGGTCTACAAGTTTCATCCTTCCTTGGGTGGTCTCTTGTGGTCAGGGTACCTTCCCCTTTGTCCTGGTGAGGAGCTGGCTGCTTTCCCAGCAAGACTTCACTCTCTCTCACATTCTTTCGCTCACTAAGGTGCACACTTTTCTTCCTTTTCTGCTCCTGTTTCTGCTTTGTTTTACTGTAGACATAAAAGAGCAAACTGAGACCATGCCACAGGCCAAATGCCATCCTGTCTTGAAACATCCTCCACCAAAGGAACTAGCCTATCACCTTCGAATTCAGCCCCACTCAAGCTTTTGGAACAGGGATAGACTTAAGCCAGATTCTCTGCCAGAATATCACACACATGGCCCATAGCCCAGTCCCCATAGAGTCCCTTGTTCCCCTCTGAAACCTCATAAACCAGGCCCTCCCCAGTTTCCCCCAAATTCCAGTCCTCTAAACTCCCACCAGAAAGCTCTGTTTGCATGGAGAACCCTGGGGCTTCTCCTCTGGCCCGAGGCTCTGAATTGTGACATATGCTTTCCTCTTGCTGGCTCATTCCAAAGGCAAAAGGAACCGCATGGTCAGGTGCAGCACAGCAATAGCCCTACTCCTCCGTACCAGTTTTCTGTTTTCCTTTTCCTTTGCTCCGACAAAAAGCAACTAAAGAAGGGAGGGGTTTGGGGGTGGGGCTCACAGTGAGAGGATCTGGTCCTTCAGGGTGGGGAGGGCATGGCAGCAGCAGCGTGAGGCAGCTGGTCACACTGCCCTGGACCCCACGTTGTAGGTGGGTGTGCCCTCCCTGCTCGGTCAGTCCTCCCTGGAAATACCCTCACAGACAGGCACATGTTTTTTCTTCTTTGCAGTTATAAATCTGTTCAGGACAACATCAGAAGAAACGTCTACATCCATGTACATAGGAGACATCGTAAAAGAGGGCGGAGGGGTGTGTGTGGCTCAGAGGTTGTGAGCTCTTGTTGAGGATCGGGGTTTGATTCCCTACAAATGGCTCACAACCATCTATCTGCAGCTCCATTCGAAGGAAAGAGAGTAAAACGACAGAGAGCAGGGTCCACATAGAGGGCAAAGCCCAGCTGCTGCGTCAGCCCTCAGCCCACCGGCCATCTCACACCATCCCCACTGTGCCCAGAGCACTGGCTTCATCCCAAGGAAAGGAGGTCAGCTTCCAAGACAGCTTGATGCAGGATAGGCTGGGCTGGCTGTCAGAATCATAATTCACCTTGCATGGTGCAAACCGAGGCACAGAGAGGGAGTACACCTGCCTGAAGTCACACAGTTAGGGAGAGGGCCAGCTGAGGTTCACTCCCTGGCCACCCATTTGTTCCCATAGCAGGCACTGCTGCCACACCTCCTGAGTGCCGTCCTCACGGGGGCATGGGGTGAGGGTGTGGGGATGTACTGGGTACCACTTGCGCTTCTGGGATCAGAGGCGTGAGATACGGCCTGTGGCTCCTGGTCCTGCCACCCTTCCACCCTCCTGCTGACACTGCCACTCCCCTGCCCCAAGTGCATGCTCAATCTACCAGCCCGCAGAAACAGCTGGCCACCCGCCACCCCACCTCTGGGCCTTTGCTCCAGCTGCTGCCTGTGCTGGGGCATTGGTAGGGCTCTTCCTATGAGGCCTGATATGGCCGACTGCCAGTACTCCTCCCACATGCCTGTTTAACTCTTAGCTCTCTTGCTCATGCTATTGCCCCATATGAAGTTGGAGCACTGACTGGGCTAGGGTGGCTCAGTGGTTACGCTTCCTCTTGGCAAGCATGAGGACCTGAGTTCGGATCTCCAGACCCCACAGAAGAGCCAGGAATAACAGAGCACTGAGTGCATCTGTAACCACAGTCAGATCCCTGGAGCTCAGTGACAGCCAGTCTATCCAAAGTGATGAACTCCGGCATCAGTGAGAAACTCTGTCTCATTAGCGAGGTAGAGCCCAGCAGTGGTGCCAAATGCCTTTAATCCCAGCCCCGGGGAGGCAGAGACAGGTGGGTTTCTGTGAGTTCGAGGTCTGCCTGGTCTACAGAGTGAATTCCAGGACAGCCAGAGCTGTTACACAGAGAAACCCTGTCTCAAAAAACAAAAAAGTGAGGTAGATAGAGACCGATGAAGATGCCCGGTATTGACCTCTGGCCACCACACACATATACACATGCACATGCATACATCCAAATGAACACACACATATAAAACACACACACATACACTCACACATATGATATAGGCTCTGAGTGGGACCTGGTATGTAATGGGAGCTCAGTGAATAACTGCAGGCAGATTAGACAGGCTCAACACGGCCCCTCAATACTTTGTATGTGGACTTCTCAGTGGGCAGATGGAGAAAGAAAAGGAAAAAAAGCAACTGCCAAGGTTGAGGAGGCCCATACTCCCCTGACTCAGCCAGGGTTCCCAAGGCATCAGAGGCAGCTCTTGCTCACATACCCATTTCCACTGTAGAGACAGGGGAACTGAGTCCCAGACAGCCAGTATACCCTAGTTCCATACCCTAGGTAGATATGAGTTAGGACCCGGTGGGTCAGACTCCAAATGTGCCTGCCTCTAACTCTCCCATGGAGGCAGTAGGGCTAGCCCAAAGCCTGAAGTTGCCATTTCTATGTTTCCTGGCATGCTGGCCACCACCCCTCCCTGCCACCTCTGTGATCTCTGGGGTTGGGCATTAACCACCAGTTGCCCCAGGACCTCTCTTGCCGCCCTTTAGCAACCAGAACAGGGAAGGGAGATGCTCTGTCTCTAGACAGGTCCCAGGCGTATGGCAGGGAGAAGTCTGGGCCCAGCTGGTAGTCACTGAGGTTGCTGCATGGTGAGCCCATGGCTAGATCCTTCAGCGGCTGCCTTGAGCTGCCTTCCTTGCAGGGTTCCTCATGGGCACAGGGGAGACCAGATGTCCATGGGTGGTGTCTAAGCCTGTCTAGCTTCTCAGCATTGCCAGGCAATCCTCCCACAATGCTTTTTCTATCCATCACTATAGGTGGGGCACTGCTGGAGGGAAGACTTCGAGAGAGGATCCACGCAGACCACAGGTTTCTTCTCCCAGACCAGAGCTCTGCTAGGGTGAGACAAGGTGGGAGGCAGCAGCTCAGAGCAGGCTTTAGGGAAGCAGCAGCCCCCACCAGCATTCTACACATTCTAGGCAGCCTGGCCTGCCCAGCCCATGGGTGTCTGAGTTGGGTGCCTGCTCCCAGGAAGGAGCGCTAACACAGCCTCTAGCAAACCTCCAGAAATCTGCTTCTAGGCACCAGAGGCACCCACCCTCTCTGCCATCTTTGTTTCCTCTATGCTTTACATCCCTGCAAAGCCAATGATGTGCTGGCCAGGGATAGATGCAGGACAACGGGAGACTGTGCCAATAGGTTTCAGGAACACCAATCATCTCGGAGAAGTATGGAGGCTGGAAATGCATCACTGCAGCTCTGAATTCTGGGAAAGTCAAGTATATGCTAAGTGGGCTCTCCACTCTGCATCCATAACATAGGGAGAACTAGCAAATCCCCAGTTCCTTCAGCCAGGATTGGCTCAGGGTGGCACTGTGACCACAGGAGGAGTATGCAACCCACAAGTTCAGGTAATTTTGGAGCCAGAGGAAAGACGCGCTCACTGAGTTCCAAACAGAGGCAAAGGGGACAAGCTGGGCTCTGATTACACCTCAGGCAGAGACATCAGAACAACAGTTCCCATTAGACCAGACGTCCTACAAACAGGTGACCTGCTCACACAGCCATGGCCCACAGGACCCAGCCAATGTCTGTCAGACTCTTTTGCCTTGTCCACCTCTCCCATACCCAGAACCCAAGCTTATAGCACTTTTGTGAGGAATGAGATCCTTTCTCTCCCGCCAGGGTCATTTCTCCAGGAAGCTTAGTCTTCAGCATCTTGTCAACTCGCACAAAGACTACAGCCCCTTTCCTCAGGAGTCTCCATCCCAAAATGG